GTTTTGGTTCGCTCCGGTTATTCTTTTGTTGCTGTTATAGTGAAAGTATAGAAATATAACAAAACACTCAATGTCAGGTCCCTTTGGGAAACCAGTTAGCTCGACTTCGACTCGGGAAACATCAGGACTCTCGGGAAAACAATAATAACTGTTTCCCTTGGGATCTGACATTAAGTGTATAATATTACCCTGTTCATAATTAGGACAGACTCGCACAGAATTATTTACCCTGTTTATTTCTACTTGTAGAACTGTTAGCAATTTTCTTTTTGGATTTGGACTTTTTACTGCTTCATCTTCGCATACGTTTCCCCACGGACGAGCTATTTTCGGCGCGTGTGATGAGCTTGCGCGCGCACATCACGCAAGCTCTGCGTGACAACAGTCTCTTCAACAGAGCCTTCAAATCAGATGATGGCTGTGCAATAGTGTAAAGTGCGCGTGACAACTCCACCTAAAGAGTAGTAGAGAGGGAAACCAGTAAAAGAAAAATATGTATTATTTCTAAATAATTTTAGTCATTTCGCTAATTCGCATTTCTAGTCCAGTCAAATTGTGGCTTAGCATCAAACTAATTGCAACAGAAATTTTTTCAACGCCATTTAATTGTTGGATGGCTGTTTAACAACATACTAAAAATCCGCCAAAATCGGTTCAGTGAAACATGAGAAAAATTGGCAATAAAGATTCTCAACTTTCACCACAGGAAACCGAATTTCGGGAAGATCACAAATTCAGACAAAACATCTGATAATTGTGTTCTTTTTTCTCAAGAGTTTTCGATAGAACATCGCTAATGTATTTTGGGTAGTTTTGGTTTAAAAAACGTCTACTAAATGTGTGAGAAACACGTGGGTCGGTGTTTCGTCTTGAGGGTTTTGCACAGGCTACCCAGCCACTCGTCTTTCTTGATATTCTGTTTTCCAAGCTTTAATTGTTTTTTTTATATGACGGTATTTAAAATGGAACGTATTAGTCAGTCTGTGTCAACATGGTTAAAATATTAGCAATTGATTTTCTTATATCAATATCAGAAATGCAGTAAGTATTTCAGCAGTGTTACAGGCTTGTCAATTTTTTACATCCTGCGGCATGGATGCAAATTTAGTAGCTGACTGATGGTGAACAATTTGATTTGATATTTTGTTCACCTTCCGTCAGTTACTTAATTTGAATCCATGCTGCAAGATACGTGCGACTAAATGTTTGCAACGGACGATAGATTTGTATCAGTACAAACTGTTTATAACCTATTCCCATTTTCCTCCTATCCAGAGTTTCTAGAGTACAGAGTACTCTAGAAATGCATTCTAAGCGGCGCTATAAAATGTGTATCTGTTCGATCATCCTAGGGGAACTTGAGCCTTCTCGAAATTACAAGGGCTTCAGTATTATTTCCCCGAAAATTTAAGATGCAATTTAACATTAAGAATTTTACTGATTCCTTTCTCCAACACATTTTTTAATCCGAAAATTTTAGGTTTCCTTTTTTCTTCGAAAAATATAATAACCTGTGGAGTGAATTGTGAAAAATTAAACTTTAGAAAATCGTAGGGAATTTATTAGATAAGCCTCAAAAATTGTACATGAATGGGACGGTCGACATCTAGACATTTTCAGCCATCTTAAAGTAATAGAAAATTTTAGGCTACATGTGCTTCTCCGAACAGATACTTTACAGAAAACAGTCGTTGGGTGCCCCTGTGCGCTTTTCATTACACAGGGCCGAATCTGTAGTAAGGGAAATCCAGAAAACCAAGCGCAGTGTGATTGTTCTCAGATCTCAGTTTTTAGTTTAGTGTATCTCTGTGTTGAGTTTGTATTTTCTGCGGCAGCCCTTCATTTCTTGGTCTACAGGCGTTTATATTCCCTCCTTGCATTTCTTTTGTGAGAACAACCCCGAACCTTGACCAGTCTTTTCTCGATCGTCCATTGGCAAATGAAGACCTCTTTTTCTTAACGATCATGGGATCCTATACGTCTTAAAATAATTGCAGTGGTCAATAAAGGCGCGAAAGTACTGGACACATATACAACATTAATGGCTTGCCTGACTTAGCTTCTGATGGCTCGCCTCTTTTTTCGGAACCTATGTTTCTCTTCGGATGAGCGTTGTTTAACACCTCAACTTACTGCATGTTAACCTTCTGGCTGAGTTGCGTGAATTATGCTCTGCGTGGGGAATTTCCATTACTCCATAGACTCTTACAAGATATTTTTACATACGCATTGTTTTGGCTACCCAGAGTTTATCTTTGCCTAAAAGTTGCTTCCCTATTATACTATTTCGTTTTCTTGAAACAAACGTTTGCTGGAACCAATGTTCTTATGCGATGAATGTTCCGTTAATCTTTATAATTTTTTTGGCGAAAGTAACAACGCTTTTCCTTAAATGAAAACGCATTTCCCTCTAGTCAAATTCATCGTCACTGGAGCTTAACCTGCTCAAAAACTGCATTGTTGCACATGGTAAAGGATTAGGAAAACTATCCTCCCCTCCTCTCCATTCACTTTTAACAAGAAGAAAACGAAAAGCTTCAAAAAAGTGAAACTGGTATATTTGAGGATGACGGTACGTTAACGAAAATTAATGTATAGGTAATCGTAAAAGCTAAAGCATTATCTTGCTGGATTTTTGAGAACCTACCGAAAGAAAATTGCAGTCTTTTGACTGAGAATAAGACCAAAAGCGGAAGGCAAAATGAGCCCGAAAATCCTCCTGGAAACGAACAAGGAAACGAAAAATAGCAAGAGCGAGGAGAAGAAAAAAAGCAATGGCTGCACTGCTAGTTTTTTTTTTTTTACTTCTGTTTGAGGGGAGAGCTGTAACGTTATTCAAAAATCCAGCTCTGATATATATTTTTCTTACCCTTGCGCGTAACAGAAATCTGATTTAGAAAGGATGTATTTTAAAATCTAATGATTAAGTAACGGCTTTCATTTTTCAGATTTAAAACCTTTCGACTAAATTTGTTGTAGTTTTTCAGCCTGTTATTTTGGGGTTCCTTGAGCGAAGCATGGGCTTCCTGTGCGAAAGCCAACCGTGTTAAATATTAATCATTTTTGAAAAAAAGGAAACACGTCGTTTTTATCACCCAAAAGTAGGTAGCAGTTTTTATTTCTTCTTTCCCTTTTCCGTAAAAGTAACAAACACATTTTGTGCATTGTTTGGACGTATAATTTCAACTAACGTGGGTGCCCTGTGTTAAAAGCTCAAAATGTTTAACGCTTAATTTTGACATGTTCCACCGAACGGGTTTTCGCGGATTTTTAGTATGTTGCTAGATAGGCCAGTCTTACCTAAATGGCGTTGAAAACAATTCTGTTGCAATTAGTTTGATGTTGAGCCTCAAAAATGCCTAGATTGACTGGACTATTCGCCATTTCGTGTTTTAAACCCCCCCCCCCCCCCTTTACTGGAAGGGCTTCATTTTGGGTCAAATTCATATAAATACCCTTGAGGATCATTACTACCGGCTAAAATGCAATAGATTCGTTTTGAATTCAACACACTGAGTTACATTCACAGTTGTATGAATAAAAGTGAAACTGGCAAAACACTAGGCTATAAACAAGGTATATTTGCGAAAGGTTCCTCTGGGACGCTAGTCTAATTCATTTGTTAATACATTTCTCCGTGTACCCATCAATAACTCACGCCCCAAAATATAATCACGCTCAAAGGAACTGTACAATACGGCGGAGTTGTACTTTTGAGATATGATTGCTGCGGAGCGACCGAAGGGAGCGAGCAGCAACATAATCAGGATTTAAAGGAAATATATAAAGGGGCGACGAATTCTCGCATTCATCACTTTTTACCACAATGCATTGCATTTAACCACACTTTTTACCACAATGCATTGCATTTAACCAGAGTGCATTGCGCCACGAACAACTCAAATAAAAACACGGGGAAGTAGTGCATCGTTCGCTGCTCAGTTCTACAGCACAGTTAGAGGTCTTACCAAATTTTAAGACACGCAGGAGTCTTTCAGATGAGTACGATGGTTAACTTGGGGATTGGATTTCAATTTAAGAGCCTTTGACTCGTCCAGGTGTTAAACCTGACGAGAAGATGAGCATTTGCTCTTCGACTCCGCAACACGGGGGATATACAAATTCCAGCTTGCTAGAAGGTGATGTGAAAGTGAGAAAATGTCATATAATGCTATTCTTAAGAAACTGTATGAGCCGAAAATGGATGTGATTTTGACCATTCGCTTCAAAATAACAGCGGAAATCGAGATAACAAAACATATGTTTTGTGTCCTACTTTGCAGACCAGGACGTGTATCGGCGTTTTGAAAAGCATAATTATGTTCTTTCATTCATTCAGTGCCATGGAATATGCGTTTACATTGTTTTTTCACTGTTAATAGCTCGGTTAACGCGGCTGGCGATCATCTTGCCGGCGGAAGTTTCATTGAAAAGGAATAGAATGAAACACTTTTCCCAGTAATTACGTAATCAGCCTTTGTGGTGTAGTGGTTAGGTGTAATCGCGTCGAGTCGAAGGTGCTGGGTTCGAGTCCTGCCGAATTATTTATTCCTACTTTCTTTTTTTTTCCTTTTTTTGTGTTGTTGTTTTCTATAAATATATAGCTAAATAAATGTTACTTAATAAAGTGCAACAAACAGCAAGAAACGTATTGTGTTTCCAGAGAAAATATCGTGCACCGTATATTAAATATCTGGATAATCAATGTCAATTTCTATTATTTCCTACAATTTACTGTGGGAAAACCAGAGTTGATAACCACTTGATCATTTTCTAAACAAAGTTCCCACGAGTTCTTTCTATAGACTGATAGTAATTATTCTAGTAATTTCCAACATGTAAATAGGACATTCAATGTCATTTTTGATTCCTTTAAGTCTCACTGCCTAACTAATTCTGGTATCAACAGAATGTGCCGCAGCATTACTATCTTTTAGATACCCTAGTTTAATAAAAGTATTTTTGAGAATACCTATATTACATATAAAAACAACTTGGAACTCATGTGGTGAGGTTACATTTTGTCCGCCGGCCATTCATGTAGGTGTCTAGGATTTCGATATCTTCCAACTTGAACGGATTCACCTTTTGACCCAAAAAAAAAAAAAAAAAAAGGGAAAGAAAGAAAGAAAAAACGAGTATATTAGTTCAGTATATACACACTCAGTGATCTTGGTAATTCAAGCAATCTGATTGGTTAGCTATCTCGGACTATGACGTTATATTCACCGCGCTAATTGAGCACGAACATCGCGCGTTTGTGTTCGGTCACAGTTGTATGAGTAAAAGTGAAACTTATTACTGAGGGAGTAATAACGACTCGAAGTAATCGGATGAAATTCAGGCTAAGTGCGAAAACGAAGATTTTTTTTTTTCATGATGACGAGTTCACTTGTCTATCAACTTGGATTTTCGTTTCTTTTTCACAACTAAGTGTTCAAAAATCAACGGCAATGATTAAGAACTTTCTAGTGCTTTTTTGGGATTGAGCTTCTAGCCAGTCAGACCAACAGCAAAAGCAGTGAAACGGTGAAGCGGTTTCGCAAATACTATACCACCTCTTCATTGAAAAGTCTGCCATAAAGAGTGATATTCAGCCGGAAAGAGACCACAAACTTGTCTCTGTCGGGAAATATCTAATTTGCGTAAAGTGCCTTCCCGTTTTTAACGTTCGTTGATCCTCTTGAAAACAAAATAAGCTTAATTATAAAGTAATAGCGAAAAATTAAGCTAGCCTTATGCACTTTTGTTATAGCCGAACTATCTGGCTGAGACAGGAAGACTTCTCTTGCAGTAACAAGGCAAATTAAACAACAAGACATAAATTTAAGCTTATTAATCGCAAAAACAACTGCTGCCTGGTCCCCTCAAGAAGCCTTAATGACCAGTTCATGTAAGATTTCTTCCATTGTTCGTAAATGAAAAGATAAGTTTAACGTGGCATGACAGTCGTCTTCGCTAAAAAAATAAGTTCTTTGTTTTCTGGATTTCGCCGAGCAAAACGTAAACAAGTTTTGAAAGAGTGGGGCCAAACCATACTCCACGTCTTCTTACGAACATTTGAGTGTTATATTTTATCTTTAGGTGGAATTTAAGACTATTTTACCTTTGTTTCTACTTAGTTTCCATTGAACGTTAACGAATAAATAAGAAATTTTCACTGTTAGTTTGAGAAAAAGAATTTTCCTTCAAACTGGACGATTGGTGGGGTGTTTGTAACCAGCTGATAAGAAGCATTTGTTTTTCCGGGCGGCACGTTACGAGAATTTGGGATAGTATTCAGCTCTAAAAACTTCTAATTTCACTGGTTTTCCATAACACGCAGCTCCATTGTTTTACGGATAGAGTCATTGTTGTATTTCTATGTCTATTGTTTTCACAGCCAATCTTGTGAGGCCTTGTAAAGAGAATTTTGCAGTTAACCAATAAGCAAGCGTTTTTGTTAGCTATGCTTATAAAAGAATTGGTTCATGCTTTTAGCTGTGCGTTTATCGAGTTATGGATGCACTTGGAAAGTTTGTAGAGCACTCAAGAAGCTTCGCATCTTATTTGCAAAACAAGAACTGATTAAGCGAGTAAGACGTCGTTTACCAGACTTCGAGACTGGTGAGAATTTATCTTTTAATCAAAGCGGTAACAAAGAGTTTTGCGTTTTTTCTAGGGAAAGTTAATTTATAAAAGCAATTTAAAACTTTATAAAACAATCGAGGGGTTGGGAGAATTCTCGACAGTTATGCAAACTCGAGATGAAATCGGGGTTTTGCATAACTGTCGAGAATTCTCCCAACCCCTCGATTGTTTACATCTAGCTATGCAAACGTACACGGAAAATGTTAGGTTGTATTGCTTAATTTCAGTGGTGAGGTCGAGGGTTGAAGGGTCATCTCAGAATCCGGGATTTGTCCGAAATACAGTGCAGAATTCGGGACAACGCATTAGACCGCTACCCGGGAAGCGGGATTCGTCGAAATCTTGACACGGGATACGGTATTAGGAAAGAAAACGATATTACGGGTAGAGGCGACAGAAGTTAGGGATGCGGGATCAGGACCCCCCCTATTCCCGACCCTGAGTAGCGGTAGGTCAGAAAGTATGGATTCTGCGTAAGAGACGGGATTAAAAACCGCCAGCCCAGTTGTTGGAGGGGAGATTAGCGCTTAACCCGGTTTCTTTTTCTTGTGTTCAAAACCATTTTCTTGGATAATTTTCTCTGTTTCTTTTTAGAGCTTCCAATCATCAACTTGTAGGCAAAACGAATTAAAACTGAAATTATTTTTAAACTTTCAAATCTGGATTCAAATCTTTCACTAACCTGGGTTATCTTGACCCAGCTTTGATCAACTCGGCCCGGGAAATTGGCCGCAGCTTATCTTCCTAATATTAAGTCATTTGCAAGTGCTTGTGAATGTAATGCTGTTACAGAGGACCAGCGACCGTTAACCAGGAAATAATTAACGTTTTCCTCGTCCGTCAAAATCGTCTCATATTTCGTCCTTCGCTACATGAATGTGACTTGATAAACATTCTAATTTTCTGAACAGTGTTATTACCTTGTAGGGATTGTCGGAGACAATGACCAAATCAGCCTTTTTGCCTTCTTTTAAGCTGCCTAGACAGTCATCTTTGTGAATCTGCCAAGCTGCGTCAATGGTTACTGCCTTCATTGCCTCGTGAATTGTAACGCGGTATTCTGGTCCGTACACCTTCTCTTTGTCATCTCGTTGTGTGCGAGTCACCGCCGTCTTGATGTTCGCAAAGGGAAGCGGGGGGCCTGGAAAGGTCGCGTGGTCCTGGTGAATACTCCAACGAAGGCCAACCTTGGTTGCCGCGGAGAGGGGTGTCCAGCGGTTTGTGCGCTCTGGTCCAAAGATGTGTTCAGTGTATGTTTTTCCGTAAAAGTATAGGTGGGCCACAAAGAAAGACAAAGCCAGGTTAAGCTTCGCTGCTTGCTCAATTTGCTCCACTGTACATAATCCCAGGTGTTCAATTCGGTGGCGTAATGGATTAGGATCTTTACAACTCTTGTCTAAAACCTGTTTTAATAGGAAAATAACTTCAATTTTAAAATCATCACATATGAGTGCAAAATATAAGTCAACTTTGTTGGCGATAGGAGAGGCTAACTGAATGCCGAGAAGAATCAACTTTCCCTAAAACATGCAAAGATTTAATTTTCAATGGAGCCAAAACCTCAGAATTTCCCGCTGTATTTTCTCTCAGTCTTTACCTAGCATGCTACGGACAACTAGGTCTTCGCCAGGAGCCATATGCATAACAGTCGTTGAAACGTATTAATTGCCCGGATGGTGGGCAATGCAATTCAATTCCCTGGAACATCTCTCATCCTGCATCCGGAGGTAAGGGAGTTAGTTGGGTCTCCGAAGACCCTTGCCGTGTGTGAAACCAAAATATGTGACTTGCCCAACCCTATTACGCAACAAAATATAGAATGTCCTTATCTATATGTATACAATCTAACAGTGTCTAAACCCGTATTTTTTGTACTCCATTTCATACCCAGTTTGTAAGATTTCCCTACCCTTAGACTCGAGTATTTAGTAGCTCAGTGGTTGTTATAACGTACCTTCGATTGCAGACAGACCTCTTACCTTATCATACGCCTCGATCACTTGATCAATAGCACGCTCCCCGTGAGCGTGTACAGCAATCTGGGTTCCTTGCTGGTGAAAAAAACTGACCATTTCCTTTAGTTTATTGTCTGAGTAGTTCATTTTACCATAATTTGGTGCGGGTGGAAATCCGAGGATCTTGGTGAGATTGGACTCTAGGTATGGGTCTTTTATCGCAGCTGTACCACAGTGGGGTGAGCCATCACTAATGACCTTAACTCCAGCTATCCAAAGATTATCATTTGGCGTGAACGTTGGTTGTATCTTCCCGCCGGCAGTTGAGAGGTCTGTAGAATAAAGATAAAAAAAAGGCCGAGAGTCATGGTGACAATTTCCTTGTTTGCTCAAAACTTATAATTAGCCAATAAGGTTTCAAATATATACTATCTTAAACAGACTGAAATGCGCTGTTGTTTAAGAAGAACACTGTCCTTTTGCGTTTAAAATTGCGGGTTGTGTTGTATTGTCCAGAGTTATCTGAACTCTGACTCGTCTTTTGAACCTCACCCAGAGGGAAATATATTTAAATATATTTACGAGAGTGTGAAGGGTGACGTCTCTCCTATTTCTCCCTGAACATCACGTGGAAGAGCCACGGTCGACCCTTGTGGAACACTAGCTGGTAATTGGCCAACTTAGAGAGGCAGTCTGCGTGTACCAGCCCTCATGATCCCTAGCTGGTTCTCTTGATTCTGCCTTTTTTTCTGAGACTGGTGATGGGTGAAGCCCTGAATCGCAGAAGTACTTTTTGAAGTATGGATTTACTCTGGATAACTGTTTTCTTCTGATATTTTTACGAAGGAGCTACAGTGGATGTAATCCCAAATGTTAGGAGAGAGTTTATTCTTCTCATAAAACTGGAAAACAAGAACGTGAAATGTAGCAATAGTTTTGCATTGCAAGTTGTAAAGCATTGTTGCACCTTTTACCCCTTGCAAGCGCAGAAAATCCTGGGTTGTGATTGGTTAAAGATGTGTTTGGTGAGAGCTAAATGTTTCCCGTATTACTTGACCTTGAGAGTTTGATGAAAACGAGACGGTCACACGCATCCGCCGATAACGTCAAAGCCACCAAACGAAAACAACACAAGGGTACAGTTTTGCCGACATACCTGAGGCATCTAATGCACGATATAATGCTAATCGCACTGGGCAAAATTGACTCTCTGATACCCTCTTTAAAATATTAAGTGCAACATTAGTCTCTTCGGTATCGTCACTTTTCATGCAAAACAGAAGATCTGTGACTGTGGTAAAGCCACGGGATGCGTAATCTCTCCATTGTTCCTCGACTGCCATCTTCATTTCATCAGCTTTTGGTTGTGGTGAGGATCCGAGGACTTTCTTCATTGCAGGGACCTCAAATAATTGCCCAGTCAAATGACCGTTTTCATCTTTTACAAACCCTGAAGGATCTTCAGTGCTGTCGTCCACTCCGGCAATCTGGAAGAGGCAAAAAAATTATTTGAGGGCCACAGGAGAGCGATTTTTGTATGACCTTGAAAACGCGCGAACCCTGAAAACAGAAACAACAAACAAACGGAAATAGAGCGATTTGATTGGTTTATCAAACGGATACAAACGCGCGTGGCTTTTGGTTGGTTAAGCGAACGCTCGGTGAAAAAACTTCATAATTATATGCCTGAGAATTTTCTAGAAATCAACCGATACTTCGCTTTGACGTCATACTGCAAAACGATTGGCCAATCGAACAATGCTTCCTCCATATTGGGTTTCTCTTTGGCGAGAAAACGAAGAGTCCATGCTTTGATCTTTCCATCCACTGGCTGATAAAACAAGTAACGAACACTTACCGAAACCGTTTTTCAAGGTCATAGGAAAATCGCTCTAATACTTAAAATGCTGGGTTTAGTTTGGACACAAATTTTCTCGGAAGGTATACGAGAACTTCAAACAAAGGAATAGGTTAAATGAGCAAAAAAATAGCTCTGTACCGTACGTGCATCACACTTTTCTCCTACATTTCTCTGCCGTCCCTGCACGACTACAAAGTACAAAGGCCTCAAAAGACATTTTACGGAGAACGCATGTAAGCACTGAAGAGACGAATGTCTCGTCATCTGCGTTTTTAACTTGGTAAGTAAACAATACTTCAGGCGAAAGAAAAAGTTTTTATGTATCATTCTAAGCCGGCTTTAACCCTTTAAGCCCTAATATCTACAATATAAATTCTCCAAATTGATTGTTATGCAAATCTTTTAAGAATTAGTTGACTAGGTAATTTTATAAAAGATCAGGGCTTTTTCTCTTTGGTGATCATTTTATTAATTCTCATAATCTTATCTCTTGACAAAGTATGGATATTGTCAGGAGAAGATTGATGTTGGTCACTATTGGGAATTAAAGGGTTAATGACAGCCAGGCTTTGTTTGGCTTCTCAAAGAATTCCTGATTTCAGGGAGGATTCATTTCACCGATCAACTCATTGCGACTATATAATAAAGAAATCAAACCGCCGCCTTTATGCTCTAAGAAAACTGAAAGCTTGTGGGGTGCAAGATGGGGAGTTGGTGGCTGTGTATTGCTCCCTACTTAGATCTGTTCTAGAGTATGCATCGGTAGTTTTTGCAAATTTACCGCAGTATCTCTGCATGGCTTTAGAAAGAGTGCAAAAGAGAGCCCTACGAATCATCTTTGGTCCTGACTTGAGCTACGAGGACACCCTCGCGCGTGCCGGGCTTCTGTCTCTAGAGGCCAGACGCCATCTGGCGTGCAAGAAATTTGTGACGGAAACTATGCACGCTAGCCCGCTTTACCGCCTAATATCCAGCAGGGTCATCTCGTCGCAAACCTCGTATTCACTGAGGTCAGGACCATCAGGCCATGTGTTACCCGGCCGAACTGACCGGTTCTCAGATTTCGTGTCAGTTAAATATTCGCCGTATAAATCTATGTGTAATAATGTGTATGCGATTTCTACCATACTACTGCTTTATTATATTTATGTTTTTATATTTATATATTTATATGTATAATTGTATGTTTGTAAGTGCTTTGCCTGACCCTACCTGTAATTCAGAGAAATCTGCGAATGGTGGAAATAAACAAATATTATTATTATTATTATAATCAATGCTTATTCGTTCAAATAAACTACAAAACCTCGTTGTCTATAAAGACTGTGGTGTTCGGAGTCCAGAGGAAACAAATCCTCATGCTTATATATTTTTCAGCTTGTATATCTTCAAAATTACCCCATCAAAGGGAATTGACCACTCCAGAAATACCATAACATACAATAATGCTCTTTGTTTGTCACTCTAAAATTTTGCATAAGCATTGTCTTCAGTTTCTCTTGGGAGTTGACTATGAAGATGACTACCGCACAGGTTGTCGAAACGTCAGTCACTGTCAACAACAACAGGTTCTATTCAGGACTACGTTCACGCGGATGATCAAACTCAACCGACTTTTGATATAGATCCTGGGTTCAAACCTTTCACACAACTTTCTTTGTTAGACTCAAAGATCAAGGCTTTAGTTATAATAAATACTTTTGCGAGGATGGTAAAGTATCAGGTCTGAGGAATCTGCCATCTGAAACAAACCTTACATTGAATAAAGACCAGGCAAACCATAGTGGGTTATCTATTTCTTCCCGCCGAGGTCTAGAGAAATACTAGCCTGTTCGAGGCTTCGAGATAGTGGTGAAAAGTCGTTCAGTAAAAAGAAATGCGAAAAACGCCACCGCCCCCTTTTCCAAGTCGCGCGCGTCTTATTTTCGCTTTGCTCGTTTTAATACGTCCGCACTATACTATCTGAGAGCCTGGCACAGGCTAGAGAAATACACGAGCGAGGAGACTAGTCAAGACTCGACTCCCCTCGCTTGTGTGACGATTCTGAGTCTTCGTTGGCACAAGTACATTAAGCTACAGACAAAAAAGTGCTTTAATTAATGGCTTAAAAATTGTCACATAAAATATACTCGGTCAAATTTTTGTCTGAAAGCGGTGAATAATTCGATGGTGAGCGGGCGAAGTTTATACGAATGCATTTTCGTTTTCCGTAAGTATATTTGTAACTCTAATTGCCAGTAAAAACATTATTAAGTAATAAATGAGATCATTTTTTTTTAACTGAGTACCTGTAATACATTAATTAAAAACCCACCTCAAAAGCCTTTTGATTCACCCAGGCCACGTGACCGCTCTGTCCAATCACACAAATAGGAATTTCAGTTGAAAAATCATTTAAGACGTCCTTCGAAAGGAATGGCAAGTCTGGAATTAACTCAGAATCCCAACCGAAGAACAGGGCCCAGGGTAGAGGCTTGGCGGTTGGGTCGAGTGAAGCGATCTTATTCTCCATTAGCAACTTGATCTCCGCATAAGAATGATGGTCGTACCCGTCGATCTTTACAAACCTCTCGACACCGTTAATCCTCTGCAAGATTAGAAACAAGGCGGGATTGAAGATAGCTTGTTTCATTATGAAGGAAAAGTCAAGAAATAGTTAAAGACATTTTTGGGGGGTTAGTTATTTTACCACTGCGACGCCAGAAGCAGGGGTGACGAATGGTCTTTGCGAGCATGCCGAGCACTGCGATTTTTTTGCGAGCACGAGCAGAAATAAAAAATTTGCTTAGAGAGCTTGCGAGCAACGCAAAAATTGGGGGAGCACGAGCAAGCCAGCACTCGTTTAAATTTTGCGAGCAAATCGAGCAAAGGTAAAATTTTGCGAGCAGTTAAAAATTTTTATGGACCATTCATCACCCCTAGAAGCTAAAGGTTGTTCTCTTTTAAAAAGAAACTTTATTCCCAGGGTTTTATTTCGTTCCGTGGGCCGGAAGAGGCCGGAGAAATACCGCTAACGAAGTCAAGTAGCTTCAAGTAAATACAAATAACTGTCAGGCGAACTACGTAACGATATGTCCCTGTGGTCATGGGTGGCTTACTTATGAAATGATTAAAAGAATACAACTAATATAATTACATAAATTAGGAGGCAGCCTGGCGGAAAGCGCAATCTGATGCTCCCGGGTTCGAATGTTTCTGTTGGTCGTCCCAAGCTCAAACCCACGGTCATGCTTTTGACAAGAGAGAATAACTGGTTTCTCCTGCCATTCCTGTTATTCTGTAATAAATGCTTTTGGTTTTTGGCCATCTCAGTTTTAAAAGGAATAACACACAAACTGCGCTTACAAACATCAGAAATAACAAACGAATTGTATAACTGACTTTTATAATTTCGAAATTGACGTTTTGTATGCTTCAACATACATCTTCAGAAGTGACCGTTAACATGAGTATAGTAACTAAATTTAAATAACTAACTAAATAAAAAAAAGGAAAATAAGGAACTAATTAACGGGAAGGAAAAGACAAATAAATGTGACAGATGAGAAAATTTGCGTGAAATTATGCAAACTAGTATAAGTAAAGCTTTTCGCTGCTTATATTTTCATTTAGGGCTGGTCTTAATTCCCTAATAAGAAGAGTCTCCTTAATTTTACAATGGGTATCTGATTTTCCTCTGGCTAAAATGTCAAAATCGTCCCATTTCAAATTGCGACCAGTTGAAGTTGAAGTTCGGCAATAGCCGATGAACGACCGTTAGTGGTGATTGCCTAGAAGTGTTCAGTTTTTCGGTCATGCAATTTCATGTTATATTGTTTTGTATTATTTGTTTGTCTAGTGGAATAGAGTGCCATCACTCCTTTCGTCCCCGCTTTTCTTAATAATTAACCCAAATATCCCCCAAAAACGTCATCACGAGCGACTGGAGACAAGGCAGGTGAAGTGCAATGTATAGTGAACAAAACTACAACTAGAAGAGCTAAGTGTACCTCCACTTTAAACGAAGCATTTTGAGGGGAGGAGCGTTGTGTGCGACACTAAAAACGGCCGTGTAGCCGACTACCCGATCAGCGGCCATTACATTTTACTATGGAAACGATCAGTCGGTTACTTAAAGGAGCTGTGTCACGAAATTCAGCCAAATTAAGAAATTACAAAATGCCCGTTAAATTAAGAGAAACATAAAAATGACCGCTTAAAACTTTAAAGGAATTAAGGTTAAAATAACATAACAGAAACAACAGATGCCACGGATGGGCAAAGCTGAAGAATATTGAAACGGATTAAAATTTGGGTGTTACGAAAACTAAGAGCTAAGACCTAAGACCCGTCTTAGTTTTCGAGATCACGAAAACTAAGACCCCCTAAAATCGAATCTGTTGAAATATGAAGTTAAATTGTAACCAAAATAGCTCTAATCTGCCAAATTATCTTCTGTCCGATTCTTTCCACCGAGTTTTTGGTCAAATTTAAAGATAAATTTAGGGCTCTTAGTTTTCGTAATTTCGACAACAAAGACCCCCCTTAGTTTTCGTTATTACGAAAACTAAGACCCCCCCACAAAACCAATCAGTAAAATATATATGAAGTGGAAAAACGACCGTTCAAAGACTATAATCCGTAAAACAACCAAAACTATCATCCGCGTGCTGACAAACCGCGGCTTCTTCTTAATTTGCAGAAAAAAGAGGATGAAAGCAATTACCTGTGTATAATTGTACACTGAAAATATGCCTTACCCCGCCTATTGGTCTATAATTTTAGCTGTTTTGCTTAAAAATCGTAAAATTGGTTTTCCACTGGAGATGGATTTTTGCCTTCGTTGCAGGCTGAATATATTCCGATCGTCAAGTGGTCAACGGCGTTATTGGTTAAACATCACACAAAAATACGGGTTTTTATCCTTTTCTGGCCAGGCCATAGCCCAAAAAATGCTTTCTTAAAAATTGGTATCAAAAGAGTGTATGCTATATTACGTTTTTTATGAATTTTTTTTTTCTTTTTTTTTTAACGTTGCCACCCCGGAGATCCCCGGAAACCAGTTGAAAAGTTACAATCTAAGGGTAGTTGAGGGGTAGGAGAGGGGCCAGGGGAAATAGTCTGTGAGGGATACTGGCTAAAATCACTTATTAAATATAAAATGAATGAATGAACAAATTTCCAGTACCATCAAGGCATCATCTCGAAAATTTTGCGTTTTAGTTTCAGAAAAAATGAAATAGACAAACAACAAGAGCCATAATGGGCTCTTGACAAGCAATCAAAACAAAACGCTCCTTGGATGGGTGATTTTTAGGTAACGCAATCATTGTCGCGGAGACACGAAGGCAAAAATCCATATCCAGCACGTGGAAAGCCAATTTTACGATTTTTATGGATAAAAAAACAAAATTATTGACCAATCCGTGGGATAAGGCATACTTTCAGTGTACAATTATACACAGGTAGTCTATGGCTTTTCATCCTCTTTTACGGTGGCCCAGAAGGGTCGCACATGCAAATTAAAAATGTTGCTGCAAATTAAAAATAGTACATGCAAATTAAAAATTTGTACATGCAAACTAAAAATATTACCTGCAAATTAAATGTAGTACATGCAAGCTAAAAATTGTGCTGCAAATTGAAGATAGAAAACATATCAATGCAAATTAAAAATGAAAAGTCCTGCGCGCGCAGTATGAGCGATGAGGACCTGGTCCGAGCAGTGCGACCTGGTCTTACAGCCGTCGGCCCATTCATGTTTCATGTTTGTAATATTTTTAGTTTGCATGTACAATTTTTAATTTGCATGTCCTATTTTTAATTTGCAGCAACATTTTTAATTTGCATGTGTGACCCTTCTGGGCCACCGTAGTTGAAAGGTCGCAATTCGACTTCATATATATTTTACGGATTGGTTTTGTGGGGGGTCCTAGTTTTCGTAATAACGAAGACTAAGACGGGTCTTTGTTTTCGAAATTACGAAAACTAAGACCCCTAAATTTGGCGTTAAATTTGACCTAAAACTCGGTGGAAAGAATCGGACAGAAGATAATTTGGCAGATTGGACCTATTTGACTTCATATTTCAACAGATTCGATTTTAGGGGGTCTTAGTTTTCGTAATCTCGAAAACTAAGACGGGTCTTAGGTCTTAGGTCTTAGTTTTCGAGGGTCTTAGTTTTCGTAACACCCTTAAAATCAGGGTTTTCGAAAACTGTTCAGCCTAACAGTTTTTCAAAGTTGCTCCCTGCTACTTGCAAATTCAAAAATAATGCTCAGGAGACATATTTGTTCGTCTCGGATCTCTGATTTTGTCATTTACATATAATTTCTTTGTTTACTTTAAGTTCCATAGCGATTGAGGGCGAACGTAGGGCGAGTAATTGACAAAATTAAACAAAATGAACTGGACTGCCGTGGCACAGCCCCTTTAAGAAAATCTCCCTAATATTGAAATTTTAGAAGAAGAGAATTTTCCACTAGTAATTCATTAAGTGTTCTAAGCTGTCTAGAAAACAAAAATCAAAAGATCAAAATAATCATCTTTTTATGCGCGTGATAGCTTTGCCATGTTTGTGAGCTGTCTTTCTTGTGCGACCTAAAGGCCGATACACACATAGCCTGCGTAGCATGGCGGTTTTGGTTGTGCGCGCTAAGTAATAAAGGCGGGCGAGGGCAGAGAAACCGCGAGGAGATTGGGGCTGGAGCAAATTTTTCTCACGGCTTCGCCGCTAGTGCGCCCGGCTCGACAAAACCGCCATGCTACGCAGGCTAATACATACAAGGGATTTTGCTGCCGGAGCATGTTCCAGGGGCACGCTCCCGGACAAAGCTCCTCCGCCTGTACAAACGATTTCAAGGATAAACTTCATCCTCGGGAGCAGAATTTCCACCCCGCAAAATGCTCCACGATATTTAACCGGTTAAATATTTGGGAGAAGGATCCCGGGAGAAATTGAGCGAACTTGAAAAACGCTCCCTAAGTGTGTACTGACCGGTGCAAAATGAGCCTGGAGCATGCTCCAGGAGCAAAACCCCTCGTGTGTATCGGCCTTAATAACAATTTAAAGTTGTCTCTTACAGTCAAGCGTCCATGCAGTCTTCCGTTTGTTTGTTTCTTTGTTTTCTTTATCAATGGCTTTTACCAATTAGCAAAACAATGACCCGTTATCATGACCTGTGGAATACGACATGCAAATAAAAGCCCTCTGTTTAATAGTAAGTTATATTTAAGCCTTTGGCTTTCTTACCGTCTTTAACGAGGCCATCAATACAGCATGACTATGAGGCTCAATGAAACCAGGTAGAAGGGTCTGCCGATCGTTTAGATGCACGAACTCTGTCAATGGCCCAGCTAAAGCGAACACTTCGTCACGCTTTCCAACTGCTAAAATTATTGTTCCTTTAACAGCCAAAGCCTCCACTGACGGCTTCCCTTCTTCCATGGTGATAATACTTCCACCGTAGAAGATGTAATCAGCGCATTCTGATGCCATTTTGCAAGCGACTATAAGCTAGTTAACGCAGCCTCTGCGAAGAACGAGATCTAAATATGTAAGTGTTTGTCGAGCCATATTTTGTAAGTTAATACTCAACTTATTTTCGTACATAATTTATTGGAGAGTTTTGCATATAGATTGCTAATTATTAACGCGTGGCTAATTATGCTTACGTTACGTTTTCGTACCTTAACAATTCTTTAAATAGGTCATCCTACGACGAATTGACCCATTTTTTAATAAATTGAATGAAGAACACTTTACTTTTCACCTAAAGGACAAATATTCTGGTACAGTCAAACCTCTTTAATGCGGACATTAAAGGGACAGAACCAAGAGCCCGCTTTACCGGAGAGGTGTCCGTATTTTTGAGGTAGGAAATGTATGATTTTTTGCATTTCTGGGACCAAACGAACTGTCCGTAATAGAGAGGTGTCTGTATTATAGAGGTATCCGTAAGGAGCGGTTAGACTGTACGTTTGCTAACTGTAAATATGAAGAACTTTCTTACCCCAAAATAATTAAAATCCAAAAATGTGCGACCCTATTCTAGTAACGCTATTGAAAATGCGACCCCATTATAGTCAACCCAGTCGTGAAAATGAATATACAACTTGAAAATGAAAGGGCACCACAGTCACAATATTTCCAAGGCTTAAGTACAAAGCGCCACGTGATGAGAAAAATGTCTGACCGTAAATTCAAGGGATCACATTGCTGCATATGAAGGTCCGTTTAGTCTCACCTCACGTACTATCTCTTGCACTGATTTTATACTACTCTCTCATCTCTCGTCTCATAAGCTCATGTCATACTGACCTTAAAAGATCACGGAATCATGTTAGTGTTCTCCCTGCATATAGCATGATCACTGTAAGGGAGTACTAACTTCGCCTTCATTTGCCCTAAAACGTCTAGCACGTTTTGTGGCTCAGCTGACTGTCATCCTCAGCGCACGAGGCCTCACATTGTTCCCGTAGGAAAAAGAAATTCTTTATATCTAAGTCACAAGCCTACTTGCGAGCAAAAGAAAGATAGGACTGAACGGGAAAACAAGATAGCTGAGTCTAGTTGGCTAGGGAAAAACAAGGTATTCAATTTAACACTCTGGTGGTTTTTCTCATAAGAAAACGGACGTTTGCAATTAGTTTTCTTCCAAATAATTCTATTTGTTTATCTAATTATCTATTCATTGTCGCTGGGTCTATCATGATTAACTGCCTTTTAAATTACCGGTTAGCCGTCGGTGGTTAAGTTTTTTTACACTCAAATTTAACTGGATGAGCGAAATGTTTGCATTTAGAGATTCGCAGTAAAGCATACACGTGACTATCGCTTGCTCAGTTTCCTATAATCGAGTAAATATGTCGGCAATGAATTAACTGCTGTTAATGAGTCTCAGAACTGAAGTTAACAATTATTTTGCACAAGACAGAATCCGTGACCACTTTAGTTACCATTTTAACAAATTTATTTATTGCATATATCCTACCATCGATGCCCTTTTCTTTACATTTCTCTTGCCATCTCTTGCTAAGTTGTACGCGTGACTCAACACTCCTGGATATCCTGTCACTAAACAATTCGGCAATTTTACGGGTCACAGTATTTTTGGTTACACAGAAGAAACATCTGGTTGTCAAAATTGGCTGCCAATGGCAACGTCAAGGTTACCGTACACGTCACGACTTAATAATGAGAGTTCGTGCATCTAATGAGGGGGGTTAGGGATGGTGTGGTTGAGGGGCTCCAAAGCTAGCCCAGGACTGAGTAGGGTTAAGGCTCTTTTTGGTTATGTTAAACTGTGCTTAACAACACGCTGATGACGCAACATACTATTTGTTTCCGGAGCAGATGAAGTTGTACGTTGGTATAGTAACATTGCTACTTTGTGCACTTCTTGGATGTTTTTGCCAGGAGCTGGTCGGTCAGTCCGCAAGTAAGTCACTCAACAAAATCGATGCTAAAGAAACATATTATTTGGGAAATATGTCTGGCAGTCAATAAGTGATTACATATCTAAAGGTTTGGGTTGACACTCGACTGTACAAATATAATATATAAACTGATTTGGCCCAACGAGTGGGTGGGGGGAAGGGTCAATGAAGGGTAATTTGGGTAGTGATTTTTAATTTGTCCCCGAGGCGTTCTACCATGACCCTGTTTCAGACAAAAATAGTTCATTTCGCTACTCTGCATAAGACGAGACCTTAATTTATGATCGTGAAGTTAATTTAGTATCGCATACGAATTAAGTAATTTTGTACACTAGACTTCCACACATAACCGACTTAGGTTCCACTCACATAGGTCACTCACCGCCTGCCTTCGGTCCAAAAAGACACCCTGTTCACACCGTTTAAGACTTCAAACCCTGAAAACCACACCCTCTTCAGCATCATATACCCGTTTAGCCCAAATAAGGGAGTGCTTCCCATTGCTCCGTTCTCTCTTGGTTCAACCAGTGAACATACTTGTAAGGATTTGGTTTTTACCATTAGTTTAACGTTCCTTTAAAGACTCAGTGCAAATAAGATGGCTTGTGGATTAATATCTGGCATTTGCTTAAATACAAATTGTCCAAACCATTCCCGTCCTTCAGTACAAAATTCAAAAGAAAACCTTATCTCAAGCGAGGCTACTCCGGCTAATTTCAATTTAAACAAAGTAATACAAATACAGCAGCCATTTTTTGCCTTGGGTCGACCATGCAAGTATTTTTCTCTTACTGAGCCGCCTTTTCTTCTCTTTACCCTGTATTGTTATAGGAGATCGCATTGAATGCATAGATGGCTCGATGTGCATGAAAGGCGAGACTTGCTGTAAAACGCCAACTGAAAAGTATAGCTGTTGTTCGATACCCGATGCTATTTGCTGTGCTGACGGAAAACACTGCTGCCCTTCTGGCACCAAGTAATATTTTATTCTTAATCACCAGGGCCGGGTTGTTCGAAGCTGGGTTAGGGTAACCCAGGGTTAGTGCGAAATTTGAACTCAGATATATAAAGAGCTTAAAAAGCAAATTCAGTTAAATTATCTTTGCCTACAATCTGAGTATTGGATGCTCTAAAAAGAATAGAGAAAATTATCCAAGAGAGTGCTTTTTGATAAAAAGAAAAAGAAACCCGGGTTAAAATTTAACCCTGGGTAAGCGCTAACCGACGTTCGCACAACTGGGCCCAGGACGGAGTTGTTCAAAGCTGGGTTAAGATAACCCAGGGTTAGTGCGAGATTTGAATTCAGATTTGAAAGCTTAAAAAGCATTTCAGTTTTAATTCTTTTGGTCTACAAGTTGATGATTGAAAGCTCTAAACATAAGAGAGAATATTACCCGAGAAAATGCTTTTGAACACAAGAAAGATAAACCCGGGTTAAATTTAACCAAGGGTTAAGTGCTAATCAGCCTTCGAACAACTGGGCCCAGACGTACCCGTTCCCTCTATAAGCCCACTCCCCAGCCCCCCTTGCGCGAGAACTTATAATATACTCAGTATAACGTACACATTATAGATCAACCTCGTTCAGGGGTTTTCCCTCAAAAAATGGGTGGGGCGGGAAAAGGCCCTGGCATCGGCTGGTCACATGTACAGCCTAAATATTCCTGAGAAGCTAATTTATATGCAACCCGCTGGTTTTGCGCTGACAGAAGAGAGTAACAATGGAAAATAATAACATCGCGAACTATGTCAAAATTTTCGCGTGTGTGCCATTCAAAAGCTTAAGATCCATTTAATTGAGCATTATTCAAATGCTAGAAATTTAAGAAAGGGCGTACTGGCTCTACGTTGTCACGTACAAAATATATAAAATGCTTCAGCGTTGAGACAAGCTGTTATCGACTAGTGCTTCAACTAAACTTCATCGTGACTGTGGAATTACTGTACGATAAAGCGGAAAGTGATTTTGTCCAATGTCAAACAAAAATGCGGGCCTTTGCCTCCAGGATCTGCGGTGAATTTAAACAAATTGAACTTAATTGAAATAGAATTGCCCATCAAAATGCTTTATGGGGTCTGGTCTTCTCTACAACCCGACCATGAAACAAACAAATCTCCGCGCCGGATGCAAGTCAGCCTCCAGCCAGGAACGATGACAGCTCGCCGATCTGAAACATTTGAAGACCTCTTATCAGCTCTTACGTCTTTTCTCTTCCGAGGATAAGAACAAAGGATTTTCCTTATATTAAAGAGAAGATTGACTGATCGATTGGAATCAACTACAGCTCTGTCGACTTTAAATGGACCCAAATCTTTCTTTGTTGCCAGTCGTTTGTTCGCAGAGGTCAATGAATTTTTTCAAAAATACAGGTCATACAGGATAAGTCTAAACCCCCGGGTCTAAACCAACGCGTGTCGCTATGATATGGATGAGAGTTAAGGTGAACAGAACAAGGCTGTGTACGGCGGCCCACTTCGCAAGAAATGAAATAAAATATCAGAGGAGTCAAGAAAGCGGATTTTTCCAGTACAACCTTTATGCATGTTCGATATAGCTTGTTTGTCATTTATACCGCTCTATAAACAGAAGTTTTTACAAATGTTACTCGCTGTCCCCTTCATAGAAATCGGAGGAAAGGAAAAAATTACCATAGCCAGTATCTGTGATAAAAAGGAAACCTTGTAAAACTTTTCGTTAATCGTCAAGAGATATAAAAGGTCTCCCAAGATCGCGCGCTGTGAGGTTACGCATAATTTTTGCTTTTCACATGGCGCTAATTTATTACACCCAGGATTTTAGGGTGTACGAGGAGACACGTGACCAGCCGATGCCAGGGCCTTTTCCCGCACCATCCATTTTTTGAGGGAAAAGCCCTGGGGACGAGGTTGATTATAAATACAACATATGAGATATATTGTTGCAATAAATCATTTTTCGTTATTGTTTATTAGCGGTAATGATAAAGGTATGTCATAAGGCTCAATATTACGTGCAGACTGATCCAAACAAAATTCTAAAGAGTTTTAGCGGAGCTCTCTCTCGCGTGGGCAACAGAGCACTATGGGTAAGATCATAATTCTTCAGATGTTACGAAAGCCAAATTCAATAATTACTTCATTATTCAATCAAAATAATTCCCAGTTTAAACACATGCTAAAACATGCTTACCCTTCATCGATGTTAAGTTCATCTTCGATATGGTGCATGTTTATCGGCAAGTTTAGGCCGTAAGGGATTGTTAAGTTCTGCAAATATTCTCCAAATAGCAGATGCTGTCCGTCGAGTTAATTCTTGCTGTTCTCGCTATGTTTTTAGCCAATAGTTCGCCTATTTGTTCCTCGTAAAAGGAGGGAAACGTTCTGCTATTTTGTATTCACCACCAAACAACTCATCCTCGTCCCCAGGTCTTCTCGGTTAAACGTTTAAAAATCTGGCAATTTTGTTGCACGATTGACGTCATCAGTTCAGATATCGCAAAATTCTTCGAAATTTGGTCGACAGTACCTGGTTATGATGAATTATGCGTGAGATTTTAGCCAATCACAAACGGAGAAATATTTTGAATGAATAATAATTGGTTATCTATGCATCCATGAAATTTTGGGTCTATTCTAACCTAGCAAAACACCCAGAAAAGCCTAAATTAGCATCAATGCACTTCCTTACCTCTCAGCGTGGCCCGGGGGAATACGCAGCATACTCACAGACCTTGCCCCTCAGTTTGAAGAGCAGCCTGCGTGATTATTCAGCCAGTTCTAGTAACGCTTAGGTCTCAGCACCCTCGATAGGAGTTTTCACCCCCCCTCCTCCCCTCAGCGGTGGGGCATACCTCGTATTCTCTCCTGGTTCACCGAATCGCAAAGCCTCGGGCCAATTCTCCCATATTTTATGCATTTAAGCTCATTTGGCTTTGTGCCCGGATGTTCCGGGTGAAAATATATTACTGAGAAAATCGTTGGTACGTACGTCCGTGCGTACGTCCACCCATTCATGTAAGCCGGGGTGAAATTTTGCATTTCAAGCACTAGCGCGTTTCGGCAGTAAATTGCATTGCTACCCGGATCTTTAATTTTTCACACTCAAATTATTTTTAATGTCTACATTGACATTAATAACAGCGAAAGAAAAAAAGCCCATTTCGTTGGATCTTGAAAAACATGAGAATTTTTTAGCGGCGGTGAGAAAATGAGAAATGCTAGCGACCAGTAAGGTGAAAATGAGCGGCAGTAAAAAAGAAAAGCGAACAGGAACACCTACGACACTTCCTCCATAAAACGTGTAACTAGGAAGTGCCACGTTGTAGTCATGCAAAACAGCGGCAATAAATTTTACCAACAAGTGTGCTGTACGTGCAATGTTGCAATTGTTGGACCTATTGATTTTTGGGGGAGATGTTACTAAAAGCCGTTTTCGTTGCCGTCGCCGCTTAGTATTACACGATTTTATATTTTGTTTGGGTAAACTATAAATATTAACAGCTGAAGGGCTTCGCTTATATATATATGATATATTATTTTATTCATAAGCTTCGCCGACAGGTATGGAACACTTTGGATCTCTAAGTCTGAGTAAAGTACCCAAAGCAAGTGATTACCAAAAATGCAAAAAGCAAACCACTTTCTGCAACATTCATAACTCTATATCTTTTGTGGGGCAAATTATATTTTTTTAAATTTCAAAAATTTTTTTTCTTAGCTTTGCTTATTCTTCTTTTCCTAGATGCGATTTAAGCACAGGGAACTGCCCACCGTCCAATGCTCGTATTCCATGGTTAAAAAAGACAATGACTTCTCGTCTCTATCAGAAAAGACAAAAACAAAACTTGGATAAAAAGCTTCGTTTCATCCCAGACAATCACGGTCCATATAAAAAGGCCGCGGAGGACGTTGGATTCATCTGAAGGCGATTTGCTACAATGACGAAGATTTAAAGGGAACGTAGAATAATTTACTGCCAATAAAGAATTTTTAAACAAATACTTTAAAATCTGAGTAAAAAAGGTGTGCTGTGGACAGTGGACACACATTTATTTAAAAGTGGGGAAACAGTTAGCCAAATGTTATAATTAGACACGATTCACAGACTCAATTGCTGTAGCCACTCGAATTCCAGAACTTTGTGTGTAACACAGCTATGATCACATATAATATATATATCACATAATTTATATTTTAACTTTTCGCTGTTTGTATTTGAACAATTTTATAGTGGTACACATCGTATTTTTTTCGGGTAATAACTGCCCACTCTCAAGGCTAAAATTTTAAACAAGCCCCCCCCCCCACCGCTTTTGAATAAGCGCCTCCCTGCCCTCACCCATTACTTGCTTTAGTAGGAGGTATACAAGAAAAACCTGTTTCTATCGACACTTTATTGTTAACTCTGCGTTGCTATAAACAGTAAAATGGGATTGACGGAACAGTATCCCGTTACTGTTTATGTACCAAACTTTGATTTTCTGACAGAATATCGCGAATTCAAAGATACGAGGAGAGTGAGAGAGCCTTGAAAAATCCGTTTGCATCGCGCTTGGCCGAGTTCGATACTACACTAAAATTACAGATCAATGATATGTTGTTCCCGTTAAGTTTCTATTTGTTTTTTTGGAGTTAGTTTCATTGCTTTGGCCTGAAGGACCAAGAGAAAGGAACCACGTTAATGCCAGTTGAAGGCTTATTTCTCCCGCCAGCTTGCATAAGCTCAGATAATCGAGGAAGTAATAGACAGAAATGGAATAAAGATAAAGACTATGAAAGAAAGAACCCTTCATTTAGACATAGATGTGACTGAGGAGATCTTGTGTAAGCTTCGTGAAGCACAATGTTTTGCAACAAAAATCATACAAAAAATGACTGGAAATCAAAATACAATGTTTGAATAACCTTTGCGATGCTTCATCTCGTTGATATCGCATTTTTATTCACATCTGTGGAATCTTTGAGGCCAGAACGTAGAAAACGTGCAAATATTGAGAGTCAGTCAAGGAGGGGGGGGATACCAAAATACACAGCAATGAACCATCCAATATACCCAAAAATAAACCAAAACTCTTGTGAAATGCTATATTTGAATCAAGACAACCACGGTATACTTTATAACCAAAATTAGTCCTGAGCAGAGTAAGGAGTACGGGGCCTAGCTTTTAGCACTCCAACGCCTGTGGTGGAACGAGCCACGTTTTGAGATTCTGGACAATCAATAAAACTCATCAGTGACTCAGTGAAAATTTGATTTATCAACTTTAAATTACATCAACGTTTCTTTCTAGTTTCCTATCAATTACTGCTGGTTTCGGCTGATAATAGCTGTTCTAAGAGAAATGAAAGTCACTTGATGCAGCCACCCTCCTCCCTCTTCACACCTACTAGCCTGTGTACAGTCCCCCCCTCCCCTAAAAAATATTGGGGAGAGAGATTTTTCTTTTTTGAGGGGAGGGGGTGGCTGTACACAGGCTAGGGCCCATTGGACATGGCTTCTCCCTTCTCAGTGTAACGAAGAACAATGTCCTCTGACGAATGCAAGGATACATTTGTTTAACAATTTGAGCAACCTCAACATACATACATACATACATACATACATATTTTATTTATTTGGAGTCTATAAATAGTATATCAACTATTTCCAAATAACTAAAATTACAAACAACAAGAAATTCCTAACCATATATGGCTAATAAGTTATTAATTAATTAAGTCCTAGAGTATTTACTTTTTGCCGTCTTCCCCTTTCCTTTTTTCAAAGCATTTGAATATATGTTTTGCTATTAGTTTTTGTATTTTAGCATTTCCGCTAGGAGGTCTTATTAGAAACACGAATATTTTGTTAGGTGACACCCTGCTTATTTTTATTCTATATTCAATCTCTTCACTGGCAACTTTCGTTATGAGTGTAATTGTACCAGTCATCCCATCAATCTTTGGAGACCAGAGAGTTCAGTTGAGTGACTGAAAGAAAAGGATCACAAGGTCCTTACTGACCAGGAAGCAGTCTGTAAAATTGAACGAAACTTCAAAACTATAAAAAAGCGTAGCAATCTTCTTTTCTTCAAAAAAGGATTAAACATAAAGTTCCTGTCTCGTATTATTTCCTTATCTGATTCGTGCGTTCTAAACCTCACAATATTCTATTTTATTTTATTGTTTTTAGCGAAAATGCTAGTTGCTTCCCTTTTTAAATATTATCTTCAACGCTAAACTTCGGTTAGGTGTTAAAGCTTGCTTGCTACTCGCTTATTAATGTCAAGATTATGAAGAAATGCCCCAAGGAAGATTGGTTCACTGTAGAGGATTTGGATCAGGCAGTAAGTATCTGATCGTCGTTTAGCGTTGTACATGCTTAAGACTTTTAAAGAACATGCATCTGCAATTCGTTGTTATCATGACCGTCGGCAATAACAGAGCTGGTGAGAGCAATTGACTCTCCGTCTGGCTTATTGTTTGAAACGGTGCCACTCCTACTCTTTTTCCATTTTAAAACAGCGTAAATCACCAACAAACCCAACAGAACACTGATGATACCCACTATAACAACAAGGATAATGGTAACATTTCCAAAGTAGTAATCATCAGTGGTGGATTTCGGTGAACCTGTGGTGTATAGGATATAAGGATCAATTCAAAAGGTTTCTGGGAAACTGCCCACCTACCTCTCCCTTAAACCATCATTTTGCCCTAAGTGAGAAGTAAGTGTTAATGTTAGCTTAGGAGAGGGGTAGGTGGGCAGTTTCCCAGAAACCTAAGTACGTTGATCCGAATATAACAAAAAAATATTATACGCAAATTCATTTTAGTTAAATGCAATTCAGTCATAAGTTTGCTGTCCGTGGTACCACTAATAGGGACCTTAAGATCCAAAGACGGAGACGGCAGAGAAAACGTCGCTGAAAAGGTGAATTTGCGTTCTTTCAATCTTCATAGTGATTACTCCAAGTCACCAACTTTGTCAAATGTAGGTGAACCCTCCTAAAGTTGAATTCCTAAGAGCCATATCCAAGTTCAGAAAGAGAGAGGAAATTTTGTCCTGGCTTGTGTACCTCCTCTGTAAAACGTGAAATTACGCATTTTCACGTTGTAGTCGTGCAGTGACGGCAAAGAAATGTACAAAAAAAGCGTGTTGCGCGTGTAAATTGTTTTTTGGTTAACATATAGATTTAGTCAGGGCTAAAAGCGAAGCTCTGGTTAATAATACTCATGAACAAAGAAAAAAATAAATCGTGTAATGTTAAACGGAGACGACAATGAAAATGGCTTCAAGACTAATAGATCTAATTAGCAAAATAATAATATACACGAAAAAATATTACTCATTTCTGATTGGCTGAGAAAAAAGTGCAGTTCTTCTGTAACACGAGTGCAAACTTGCAACACGAGTGCAAAACTTGTAGCACGAGTGCAAATTACAAATGGTTTCTGATTGGATGAAAACAAAAAAGAAACCACCAAGAACCAATCAGATTAGAGCTGTTTTAACAACAAAATTCAAGAAAATATTTAATTTTGTAAGCAAAACAACAATAGAAAAGTTAAAACATATTCCAAAAACCCGAACACAGTAAAAAGTCCGTCTTTCTGGCTAAATGTATTGAAAATGCGGTGCTAAGAGAAAAATACTGTCAACAAAATCGAGGAAAATGAGCCAGGGAAATGAGCCGTTGTTTTGTACCACTACAACGCTGTTTTGTACGACTAAAACGTCAAACCTCCTAGTTACACTTTATTTTTATGGAGGAATTGTCGAATGTGTTTACCCAATATTTTGTTTCCTGTGTTCATGTTCGCTTTTATTTTTCACCGCATTTCTCATTTTCTCACCGCCGCTTTGAATTTCCATGTTTTTCTTTCTACGAAATTCGTCTCCCTTGTTTTCAATAACTGGCTCTAGCTCTTTCTCTGTTATCCACGTTAGTGTAAACATAAAAAATAACGCCGGAAAAGACACGACTTTGTTGTTGTTTTTCTTTCTAACAGTCCGGGCGGCCATGTGATTTCGCTCCAAATAAAACCTTGAGTTGCATTTGGGTTGCCATACCTGTTGATTGAGTTATTTTACATTGGTATGCCTGTGGTGCGGACGGACGGTCGCTCGCTCGCTCGCTTGGTGTACGGTCACGTTATTACCAAATTTTCTTGGATGGGTAGATTACCACATTTCCTTAGCTATGGGGCTCCCCTATTAAACCTATTGATTTTTTGACGTTCTCGTTGCCGTCGCCGTCGTCGGAAAGTAAGGTCCTCATATCTAAATACGCAAGATTGCAAACAAGGGGTGCTTACCATTTACACAAACCACCCAGGTGGGAATCTTGAACATAAACTTAAAGCTGTAAAATGTGACGTGGTGAGAGAACAACCCGCCACAACTATTTAAATAGCTCAGAAAAAAACTTAACTTAGTAGAAAAATTGCAGTGGCTGCTGATAGAGTGAACCACAAAAAACTTTTCAACTTCAATGTCCATCCTTGCCATCCGTTGGACAGATGACAAGAAACAGTCTCATTTCCCTAATATATAGTGTTAAATAAATAACACTATTCATGAAATTCGACTGAAGAGAAAAAAGTTTTAGCTTTTTAAAGATACTCAAATAGCAAAAACAGTAGCAACATTTTTTTTTTTCAGATTGAAAAAATAATTTACATTTGTGTTACCCACAATTGGCCGGGCTATTCTCGGTGGAAAAAATGCAATTGCAACAGTCTCCCGAAAAAAACAGTTACAAAGTTCTTAAGTCGGAAAAAAGTAGTTGCTATGGTATACTCATGACAAAGACAATTAGAGAAGAAAAACTACAGATCTTAGGAGCATCATATCACTAACCCAACCTAATACCATAAAAAAGTAGTTCAGATAGGAACTGGTGATGGTCCTTATATATCAACATACAAGTGACATATCCCCTTCTGAGTTCTTTAAGTTGTTGGAGAATCAGGATACTTAATTGACGTAAATACCTACCTGTAGAGCGCTGAGGCGGGGATATTGTATCAGTTGGCGATGACACAGGGATGGATCTTGCTGAACGAACTGCTTCTAGAAAGATTGAATTAAGACATCGCGCAGGATTTGACATTCCCCGGTGACATTCAAAACAAGGGTCTTGGTTCTAGTCTCACAGTCCGCCATTTTCTATTTAAAACCAGGCCTATCCGATCAAAAATGAGCCAAAAAAAGGGTCCTAGTAACCAAATTTAATGTTGCTATGGTGACTTTTCTTGGATTTTCAAAATAAAGGTGATGTTACACGAGACTATTCGCAACGACGATCTTTAGCGCAACACAGCGTTGCAACATTGTTGCGACATTGTTTCGAATGGTTACAACATTGCTCCAGCATTGCAACTCTGTGTCGTCTAAGCCTTTTCCACAGATAGTTGACTTCCTTGAGCGATGTAATTTAAGCTTCCTCACTTTTTGACTAGAAGCTCCGATTAATAGGAAATGCTGGTGATAAGTGTGAGTTGTCGCAAAAAGCCATGGCCGTGATAAACTGGCAGTTTCTCGAGAGCCTGGATCTAATTTAAATTCTGACCCTTCGCGAGTTTCTATGCGATGAACCACGTTTAATGCTAACTTAAAATGTCGGGCTGATAACTGTGCAAGACGTTTTGTGGACGTAATGAGCAGTGTACGACAAGTAAAAGGAAAATAGTCACCCCAGTTTGAACATGAAAGAAAAAAATGTGATGCACTTAGCTTGCGCCACGCAAATAATGTATGGTTTTACATGTAATGAGGGACATTTAGATACAATTTTAAGGAATGAAAGCTTAAAGTTTCATGGAAAGTCCGCCTTTAAGCCCTCCCCCGTCACTTATAAGCACCCGGTAAACAGCCGGGTATAAGCCCCGGGTTACTCCCTCCTCCCCACCTCTCTCCCTTCCTAGCTTGTACTAAAATGAATTCCATTGATATTTACGGCTTTTTGAAGCTTAAAAAAGCGCTTTTTATAGTCCGTTTATAATCCCCTCTTCCTCCCCTTTCGTTTATAAGCCCTCCTAGCTAAATCCCTCACGAAGTTTTCCAGGCCCAAGGCTTTGTTAAAATCCCATGCATATTTTGCTGTTTTGACCTCATTTCGAGTAAATATAGTACGTGCCTGCGGATTGCTGACTCTTCAAGGTATCAGCTGGCGATGCAACAGGGCTCCTTGTTGTTGCGGAAAACACTCGTTATTGATAATAAGAAATAAGATTTTTTAAAAAAAATTGTATAAGCGCAGTTGAAGTGACATAATTCCCCTTAGGTTAGCGGAGGGTTGGCGTTGTTAACGGGACAGACTTTCTGCCCCAACATCAAATAAAGTATTGTATATTCTTACCAACATACGGCGTGGGCGTGGGCGGTGGATCCTAGAGGGAAAAAAAGGAAAAATCATCGTAGTTAATTATAAGCTGACGTAACGGTGTTCTGTCGCACTTTGTAGTAATCGTCGCACTTTGTAATTAACTTTCCTCATATGGACAGCGACATTTCCGCCAATCCAGCTTACGGTGTTTATATAACTCAACTGGTGAGATATAATGCTAGAATTTGCCCGTCCAAAGTTGAGTTCATAAATAGACTCCGCGGACTTTCTTTCAGCGTCTCAGACAACAAGGCTTTGAAACCAATCTACTTCAGAAATCATTTAATAAATTCTTCAATCGCCATGGTCTTATCGTGGAGAAGTATGGTGCAGCCCTGCGGGAGATGAGATTAGCAATCCAGGCTTAAATTGCGCCATCGTATCCTTACATTACTTATTTATTACTTAGATTTGCATTTCAGTTGTGTGCGTACAGTTTTATTTTGTGCACGTGCATTATTTATTTATTTAATTGACATGTACATTTAGATTCAGTTCGTTAAACAACGTCTTAATTTTACTTTGTGTTTTTTTTTTCCTCACTTATATCTGTTGTTCGTGACTGTACTCGCATTGTGGGTGGCTCCTCCTAAGATGTTCTGCAATTGGTATAGGATTTAATGGAGCCGAAACCAATTGGGGATTGCACACATTTTAGGCATCCTCCTGATGAACAGTTACTACATGTAGATATATTTTTTAGTAACTACTATAATTTGAAGTCTGTCCACTCTGAATTGAAATGGATGGTCGGAGGACAAGTAAACCCAATAATAAGTATCATCATCGACGACATTAACAACAACAACAATAATAATAATAATAATAATAATAATAATAATAACCAATTTCTCAAGTGGGGGCGGAGGAAAGTGTTCACACTGACTGCGTCCTTCCGGTTTCAAGATCTACGTAGGGAAGTACAACCCTTCCTATGCAAACGACCTCGAGACCGCAAGATAGTGACCATAACTGCGAGAGTCCGTAATAGTGGATTTTGTATTGGAATGTAGCTGCTATCCGTATTGTCTGGTTGTCCACAAAAGTAGGGTGTCTTTCAGGCGAAAGGTGATTGTATGCTGTATGAGCAAAATATTTTGAAAGTTTTACTGGTAGCGCGGGCAACAAAGAAATCCGGTTTTATTACCTACGAGGATATGACGAGAGATATAACGAGATTTTGGTGTTTATTTCCATGAATAAGTGCTATTCTAATATTTCATAGAACCAAAAAACATAAACTCCGAGCACACCACGGTGCGACAATCATTATCATAATCAAACAATTATCATCATCGTCATCATCATCGTCGTTATTATTAGTATTATTATCGTACTAAAACTTTCTTTTAAATATTGCATATCATTTGCTCACGTCATTGTGCCACAATGAATGTTACTAATTTGTGGAAATTTTGAATTCGCTTGAACCGACATGAAACTGCAGAATCATTTATAATAATCAGAAAACATAACAGGAAGTAAGAAAAAATGCAAACACGAAAAGCAACTCTTAAGTGCAATGGTACTAACAAAAAATTTCAGTCTCGAACGTTTATGCTCAAGCTTCATCTTCTACGTAAGTTGTAAAAAGGCATTTTTAGCCCTTTGTTGCCACAAGTTCTCTCACTCAATAATAGCTAAATATTGAGGTGTCTCTGCCCAGAGCTTTGAACTATGCTTCTTGTTTCGCCAATATATGTCCATGATGATAAATCATCCAAGACCTATATCGCAGTACCGGTCAAGCATTCGCCCATTTTTCACCGTAATTCGAGCTCAACACCACTTGAAGGCCCAAACATTCTTATGAGTTTTTTGACGCTGACTTTTCCCGCCACACCGCCACTGGAGAAGTCAAACGCGGCAGAATCTGAAAAGCCAGCTTTTGGGTTCACGAAAACGAGTATTAACCGGCCGGATGGAAAAACATTCAGTGAAACTACTTGTAGGACATCGACTCCGAAGCGCCAGTCTAGCGTTGGCCGGTAAATAGCACAAAATGATCATGACGCATAGTTTTTCATAAATATAAAATTGAAACATGAATTTTTACAAGGATAACCTGCATCATAACTCTAGTCGTCATTTAAATGCCCAGTAATCGATCTCATTGTTCAGGTAGGTTACGATAAAAATAATATAAAAAGATTATGCGGCATTTTTAAGGCACATTATGCGGCCAGAATGGACTACTGATGTGACAGCAAAAAAATGCATTTACAATAGACTAAAGAATACTAGAATCATATCAACCCAAGGACGTGCACGCAAATTCACACCCCCACCGTGGTACAAGGGAAGGGGGGAAAGGGATGGATGGAACCCCTCCCCGGAGTTTTGATGTGTTACAGTACTAGGAAACGATTTTACCTTTAGTGCAAAGCCCTTGATCTTTTTAACAAGATGACGTATATTTCATGGCTGGTGGAGCTACTGGAGGCCCATGACGTCACCAATAATGGTTGCCATCTTAGCCCATCTTGGATTTTACCAAGATTTAGAAATCACGTTAAAAACGGCGAGCAAAGGAAACTTTTTGGCTTTACATGAAAAATAGCACATAAATAAGCACTTTGCAAGATTTTAACCACAAGATTTACTTTCATTGTTGGAATAAGTTGAAAAAACATGTATTTTCACCCAAAAATGGCTTGACCGCCTGCTACTTATGACGCCATATCTCGTAACCATAGCAACTGACCATCACTGACCAATACTGAAATTTGAGAATGAAAACAACAAAAACCAGGGCCCGGCGGTTCTTAAGGGTTCACGATGGCGAGGTCTGAAGACAAGATAGAGTTTTAGCTATAGTTTTAAATGGGAGTGAAGAAACTTTTCTTACCTCAACCTTGAGCGTAAACCAACTTTGTAAAGTCAAGGGGCGACGAAAATAGTTGTCAACACGTAACTTCACACCATAATCACCAGCATCGTCGCGTTGAATATTGACAAGTTGAAAGGCGATATAGTAGTCTCGCTTCAAATCTCCAACCCAGTACAAACGCCGGGACTTATGATTCCCTGCAGACTTTGTAACGGTCGTATTTCCAGATAGTTTTTGGTTAAACGTTATGATTGGATTCACGAGTTTGTAGCTTCTATTCCAAGGTCCAAACTGTGCCTTTAATTCCCGCTGTTTATGTTCTTGACTGATGTTTAACTTCCAGGTGAATGTTTGGTTTGATCCAGTCGTTGCATTAACCGTTATTTTTTCTGGCCCAGAAACAAAAGCTAATCCATTTGCTTTGAAAATAAAAACGAAATATTTATTGTTAGATCTATCAGTATATTTGTCACACAATTCGAAAATGTTAAGTCGTTCTACTGGCGCGTTTTTTTCTTAGCCTGTGAACAGGCTTTCTGAAAGGGTGAAAAAATCGCGAGGAGAGGGAAGAGAACCTTCTCCTCGTCATGTTTTTTGCCCTTTCCCCAAACAGAAAGCCTGTTCACGGTTAGTTTTTTCTTAAATCAGTGGTTTTGAGCGAAAATCGTCGTATAACAAGAATCGTTTTCTCTCGTAGAACTACTTGCAAACTCGACGATAAAGGAAACGAGAAAATACAAAAAGTATCACGGATTAATTAATACGCAAAACAGAAATTATGAACGGTTAGTACACTTTTTGGCAGATTCCTTTGCTATCATCGCATGACTAAAGTTGTCAAACTTGCTCAGATTCAGAATGACATGACTATCGTCGCTTTAATTTCAATACCATCGTCGTTTCATCAACAGCAATCGCCGCGACTTCGATTTCGTCGGAAATACCCATAGAGAGTCATGTCTTTGTCAGTGGCGCATAAACTATGCAAACATCCATCTGCTGTTTCTTCCAGAAACCGTCCTTCAAGGTTTTTGAAGCATAAACTCAGTCTTTGATAGTTTTTCTGTTTTCTTGCTCCAGTCTTTTGCTTCCTTATTGTGCTTTTCCGGCGTTTTCCTTACTATACTGCTATGCTGCTACTATAAAACGTGTAGTATATATATATTTTTGATCTATCTTAATCTTTGAACAATATTATAGCCTGTGTTAATAATCTATTAAATAAAAGCAGTAAAAACAAACTTGTTTTGTATAATACCTGTATATTGTTTTGTATATTACCTCGGTCTTTGAGCGGTTACCAGATTTTAAGTGCGATAAGGTCATAATTGGCGGGGACTATAATTTAGTTTTGGATGTTGAGAAAGATAAAAAAGGCGGCCTTGCAAAAACCTACAAAAATTCGTTAGAAGTCATAAATAGCTATTGCGAAGACTTAGACCTAATTGATGTCTGGAGAATACAAAGCCCTGAACAACGACGATTTACATGGAGACAAAAGAACCCCGAAATACTATGCAGACTTGACTTTTTTCTCGTAAGTCAATGCACATCTTGCAACTCAATCAATACAGATATAGCCCCTGGTTATAAGACAGATCATTCACTGGTCACGTTGCAAATTTCGGGGCTTCTGGAAACTAAATACCTCATTCCTAAAGGACGAAGAATATACAAAGATAATACAATCCATTATAACTGAAACTAAAGATGAATATGCACTGGATAATACTGTCACTCCAAACTTACTGTGGGAAATGATAAAAATGAAAATTAGATAGACATCAATTAAGTTTGGCAGAATAAATAAGAGAAAAATGTTTCAAAAACAAGATGATATAGAAAAGACAATCAAAATCCTGGAGGAGCAGGACCTCCAACATTGATGCACTGACTGCCAAAATGTATGGTCAAAGTTAGAAAAAAGAAGACGGGAACTTGAAACCATAATCGAAGACCGACAAATGGGGCTATTTTAAGATCTAAATCGCGATGGTACAATGAGGGCGAAAAAAAACTCTAAATACTTTCTAAACTTAGAGAAGAGACACTGCAAACAAGGAACAATTACCCAGTTGAAAGTTAATGACAAAGACTTAATCCAATCCGACACGGAAATCTTACGCGAGTGCGAGACCTTTTACCAAAAATATCTACAGTTTAAAAGTACAACTTAACGATTACCCGGAAGTTTTCTTTCCACCTGCACGAGAAGTATTGAGTGAAGAAAGAAAACACCATTGTGAGGGTCTTTTAAGTTCTAAAGAGTGTTTGGAAGCATTAAACGGTATGGCCACGGAAAAAACACCTGGTACTGATGGCCCGCCGTGTGAATTTTATAGCGGAGCTCTGGCGCGCGAAGCGCGCCTGCGGAGCACCATGGGTAAGTAAATCTACCCATCCCAGAAAATTTGGTAATCACGTGACCGTATACCGCCCGCCCGCCCGTCCGTCCGCACCACAGGGGAACCAGTGTTTAATCCTCACACTTTCTACCCAGTTTGGGAGCACAGGAAGACTGATATTGCACACATATATTGCACATCAGTGCTGTGATCAATTGACAGCTGTCAAAACAGAGTATCCGCTGACCAGTATCACCTGACCGTATCGTGGGCTCAGGTGCCCACCCATCGAGGTCGAATATCTTTGTGAAGTTATCCGCTGACAAGTTACTAGTTTTCAAATGATCGCAGGCTCAAGTTTATTTTTTTTTAATTCATATGAAATACGTTGTGTTTTGTATGTGCCGCACAATTAAATGTTGATTTCAAACTGACCTCGGAAGCTAAAATTCAGCCAGTTTTTACAGGCAGGGAAGACATGCCAGTTGCTTTTGACTTTTCTCACCAAGGTCACGCGTTGGTCACGCTCTACGTCCAATTGTTATGCTCTGATTGGTCAAAATTTGACAGGTGAGTTCATGCGGAAAATTTATGCAGCATCTTGAAACTTGTTTACTTTGCTGAAGCTGACAGAGTTTTGTGTCAACTTGTGATGCTTTTAACTGTCTTTTTCTACTGAATGTACAAAATGAAATTCAGCTGCTATCAAGAGTCTTCTGTTATTCATGGCTAGTTTGTTTACTGGGGTTTTGGTTGAAAAATACGTCGCTTGTCAAAGTCGGAAATCCGATTTCGGATGGCATCGTTTTCGTTTCACCTTGCTTGATGCGTAAGAGGGTTGAAAAGTCTGAAGCGATTCTGGCCTTACTTGATAGTTTTCAGTGCATCTCGAATGGTAAGCCTGACAAATTATTGTATTTGTTGACGTTTGTTTTTTAAATCTAATTTAATGAAGTCGAGCGTTATTTCGTCCTGTGCTATTTAGTTTATGCACGTTTTTAATTGTAAGATTTGAGACAATGATCTGACCGAGTATCAGGTTTGATAATAAGCTTATATAACTTTAAAAAGCCTTTAGACATTTTATCACCGCAAATAGAAAGAAAACGTTCCAAAGAATATTTAGTGGCTGCCTCGAGTTCATCTTTGAAAAAGCAAACACCGGGAAGCCGGCTTACAAAATGAAAAACATAAACAAGGATTTTCAGAGACACTTTAATACTTGTCATCATGAATGAAAATTGTCGTCTCTGTATATGTTTCACCGAATTATTTTCCTTTTATTGATCGTTAGTAGTCTCTTTTGCAATTTTTATCGCTGTGCCGTTTGTTTTCCGTCGCTCATGAACATCGCTTGCATGCTGGAGTAGTCAAAATGCCGCGCGTATCAAACGCTTTTGACGATTACACATTGTTATAAAACCATTAAATAAAAAACAAACGTAATAAGTTCTTTATTATCTTGAAGCGAATAACTCTTAAACAGTCGACTTTGGCACTTGTCAAAAGTGAGAACCGGCTAGCCGTATAGGTGATTTGGAAATTTTTTTAACGGTTTCGCTAAAAGCCCACACGTGCTTCGATCGTCCTGAATATTGAGTGAGGGCAATTTGTATTGCAAACTTGTGAAATACTGCATTCTGTTCGAGGTCTGTATGATAAAAACAGCGCCTCATGGTACTGTTTCACCTCAGATGTGATGTATAAAAGGTTGGGTTACACGTCCCCAGACTTGTTGGCAAGATTTTGTAAAGTAAACGTGTCGAACGAATTCGGCCTGATTTGTTTTCCAAGAATTTGTTTTCCGGGCCTAATCTACTGTGATCAAGAGCCCGCGCTCTTAAATGTGATCGAAGATGATTGCTATTTTTTGGGTGTACATATAAGGCTATCAACTCGATGTAAGATTAAGTTCACTCTTAGCTTGGACTGTTTGCAAATTACTTTTCTCTAAAATCACTTAACCTTTCCCTCAAAAGTCACATGAATGTGCTCTAAAGTTAAGTGAATTGTGGAAAATAAGTTTATTGTTTGATTTAAATTATAAATTCGAGTTAATATATAGGAGCTTCGCTTTTAGCCCTGGCTAAATCTATATATTAAAGTTTTTTGGAAAGACATAGGCGAAACACTAACGGACGCCCTAAACTTCTCTTACCAAACAGGAAAACTCTCTGTATCACAAAAGCGAGGAATTGTCAAGCTCACACCAAAGAAGGACGCAGATCCCAACCTGATTAAAAATTGGCGCCCATTGACACTATTAAACTTCGATTATAAGATTGCATCAAAGGCTATTGCAAATCGAATCAAAATAGTTTTACCGGAACTTATATCAGAAGATCCGTCAGGCTTCATTAAAAACAGATGTATCAGTGACAATATACGCACGTTAGATAGCGCTATCAAGTATGCAGAAAACAAAGGATTACCCGGTCTACTTCTTTTCCTCGATTTTGAAAAAGCTTTTGACACGTTAGAGTGGTCATTCATAAACCAAACGTTACGGCACTTTGTATACTAAACAATGGATGGGCGAGCCATTTCTTTGAGCTAAGTCGAGGTGTTAGACAAGGCTTCCCCCTATCACCTCATCTCTTCATACTGTCCGTAGAAATACTCGCTGAAGCTATTCGCAATAAGAAAGAAATAAAGGGCATCAAAATCTATAATGCTGAAGTTAAAGTAAGTCAATATGCGGATGACACGACACTTATTTGAGATGGAACTGAAGAATCAGTAAGAGCGTCACTGTTACTGATAGAAGCATTTGGGAACAAATCTGGCCTAAGGTTGAACAATGATAAAACAGGGCCTTGTGGATAGGTTCTAAAAGAAACTGCAACCTAAATCTGTCCGGAAAAAAAAATTAAATGGCCACAGGGAAAGGTCAAAGCACTAGGCGTGTGGCTCTCTACGGATAACCAGTTAACACTCTCTCTCAATTACAACGAGAAATTGGCACAAATCCATATTATCTTGGGATGCTGGAAATTTAGAAGACTTAGCTTAATAAGGAGAATAACAGTACTAAAAAGCCTTGTAGCACCTTTGCAAACGAATCACCAAGCAATAAAAGAGATCAACAAGTTTTTTTTTTCAATTTCTTATGGAACGGCAAAAAGGATAAAATTGAACGCTCGATCATGATGAATGACTACCCAGAAGGAGGACTAAAAATGATTGATATTGCCTCTTTTAACAAATCACTCGAGGCTACTTGGATTAAAAAATATCTGGTTTCAGGAAACCGTGACAAATGGGAAAACTTCTTTAATCTGGCGCTGGGAAAATACGGAGGAAGTCTTTTTTTCGAATTAGGAAATCTTAACAGGAAGGATATTGATAAGCTAAAGATAGAAGACCCTTTTATCAAAGAAATTGTAGAAATTTGGTCTGACACTTTCTTCGAGAGGAAAATAGTATCAAAAGATCATTTTCCATCTCTACCTCTGTTACAAAATTCATTAATAAGTAATATATCAAACATGAGATGCAGTGTTTCATCACCAGATGAAACACCGAGAAGAGAGTTGAAAATACGACGCGCAGCGGAGTATTTTTGACCAACTTCGAGGTGTTTCATCTGGTGATGAAACACTGTGTCGAATGTTTGATATTTCTTCTCAAACAAAATCATTTTTGAAGGAGAAATTAAGGATGCAAATACTAAGCAGTGTTTCATCCGATTTCCAAACTCTCATTAAACATTAATTTCCTTTGTATTTTCTTAATGAATTATTAATGAGTTTGAGAAGAATAAATGACGCACCAGTTTTCTGCAATAACTGGCTTACCAAGGGTATAACAAAAGTTAAACATCTAATGGACGAGAGAATTCTGTCAACTTTTTTTCCCTCGACCATTTTCCGAATAGATATAACATTCGAGTAAAACCCTTTATGTTTTTTTAAATCGTCTCAGCCGTGAAATCTTTGCAACGACAAATGTCGAGAACACATCAGCAGTATGAAAGTCCTTGTAAAACATTTCTCAAAAGCCAAAAATCATCCAGAATTGCTTACAAGCAACTAATAGCAAATAAAAGTGAAAAACACATATCTTGTATAGACAAATGGCATAAAGACATCCACTCTTCAACCGATAAAAATATTGACTGGAGAAACGTTTTACAAGCAGCAAACACTTGTACAACGAGCTCAAAACTTATTGATTTTAATTTCGGATTTTTACATAGACGTTTACCAACTAACAGCTATCTCCAAAAAATAGGAGTTAAAGAGGACGGAAAATGTACTTTTTACCATGTCGAGAAAGAGCATTTAATGCATATATTTTGGAAATGCCAAAAAACAAAAAATTTTGGGATAATTTCTCGATATGGCTTCAGTCGTGCCAGATCCTCCAACCACGCAGTTACATAGACATATATGACTACCGCTATAAACTTCTGTTGTCTTATAGCTAAGAACTTTATCTGGATATGCAGATCAAAAGAATGTTTCCCAATTCACAACAATTTCTTGTTTTATCTAAGACATATATACCAATTAGAAAATAAGACACCCAGGAATACAAAAAAATGGAAACCTTTCTTTTCCTTGCTGGGTCTTGTCTCCTAACTCCAAAAACATAAAGTAGTAATATCTGCACCTACCATGAATATTTATATTACTTTCACCACAAAGAAAGCCCCCCAAAAGTAAAAATTAACTATAGATCATACTAAGTACTAAGTACAGTAATATATGGAATTAGCACTGCTGTAATCTAGTTTAATATTTGTAAGTTTTGCCATGTAAGTGTGTAAATTCGCTATTCGTTTTTTTTTTCTTTTTATTACTTTATTTATTCTGTGTAATTTTTTTTCTTTTCTGTGTGTGTTTTACTTGCAAAAAAAAAAAGAAGAAAAAAAAAAAAACGAAAACTTAGATGAGAAGCTTCGTTTCCTCCCAGACAATCACGGTCCGGATAAAAAGCCCGCGGAGGACGTAGAGGATTCATCTGAAGACGATTTGATATAGTGACGAAGAAAGGGGAAGTAGAATAATTTACTGCCATTGAATGCTTTACTCACAATCTGAGTAAAAAAGGTGTGGACACACCACTTTCTTAAAAGCGGGGACACAAATGCTAATAGCCAATATTATAATTAGATACGATCCACCGACTCAATTGCTGTAGCCACTCCAATTCAAGAACGATCATATATAATCAAATAAATTATATTTTAACATTTCGGTATTTGACACGTGTAAATTAGAAATTACGGTGGCCCATGAGCGTCTCGCAGATAAGTCGAGAATTTCCTATCTCGACTTATAACTCGAGATCTCGAGTTATAATGTGAGATCTCGACTTATGATGCGAGAACTCGAACTATAATAAGAAATCTTGACTTTTAACTCGAGATCTCACCTTATAACTCGAGATCTCGACTTATAAAGTGAGATCTCGAGGGGGCAATACATAGATTTAGCCAAGGCTAAAGGCGAAGCGTCTATATATACTTTTCATTACTTAAAACCAAAAACTAAGACGAATAAACCTCAACCTATAAAAAATCCAGAAATTTATACTTACCTGATTTTAAAACAAAAACTACAAATCAATTAATTCGATCACAGTAATAGTCTTGGAAAATAATTCTTACCCATGTGTGTGCATCACTAACTCCCCCCACCACACCCCTTTGAGAAGTTAATATCCTATGAAATTTAATGTTTTATAAAGGATGGTTGCCATTCACGAAACTCTTTGGCTGCGTCCAGTTCACAGTTTATGGTCATATGCCAATCCAGGGTGAAATTTTGCATTTCAAGCACCAGCGCGTTTCGGCGGTAAATCGCATAGCTGCCCGGACTTTTAGAGAGAACTGATAAAAAACAACAACAAAGCTGATTCTCTTTCGACTAAATTTTAATGTCTACATTGACCTGGATAACTGAGAAAGAGCTAGAGCGAGTGATAAAAAACAAAGGATCTAATTACGATGGAAGAAAAACATGGGAATTTTATAGCAGCGGATGAGAAAATGAGAAATTCTAGCGTCCACCAAGGAGAAAATGAGCGGTAGTGAAAAAAAAAAGTGAACAGGAGCACATACGACATTTCCTCCATAAAATGTGTAACTAGGAAGTTTCTGGAAGTTTCAAGTTGAAGTCGTGCAAAAAAACAACAGCGAAAAGAAATGCACAAGAAAAGTGTGCTGACGTGCAAAGTTTTTTTTATGGGGGGGGGGGGGTAATTAGACCTACTGATTTTTTTTTTTTGGCCGTCTTCGTTGCCGTCGCCGCTAAGCCTTTTATATTTTATTCGAGTAAGCAATAAATATAAACGAGAGTTTCGCTTTAAGCCCTGGCTAAGTCTGTATATAAGATGTTGCACAAGTTTAACTCATGAATTCACCTGTTAAAATTTTGACAGAGCAGGGGGAGGGGAGACTAGGTTGCTAATTGTTCCTGGAGTCTGACCAAAGCTTGACCAAGCATAAGGAAAAGCTTAAGAAATTCATTTCCGAAAATTTTCTCCTAAGCCGCACACAGGAAACTTCAATCTAAATTTTTACTCGAGCAACTCCGCTGGTTGTCCCTAAATGGTTAATTTTGTGTCAAAACGAAAGGCAACGTATATGTCTGGGACTCCACTCTCTACCCTACTGAGTTTTTTGCCCCAATTTCCCCACCACTAGCCACCGACACTGAGGTATATAATTGTTATATATCCTGACTATATAATCTTAAATGGTAATGGATCATTATAAATTATCCCAGTTAGTACGCAGCTCATACAAGCTTTTTTTTATTGTTATTATTTCTAAACAGTGAACACTAGTGATCAGCACAAAGCAACGTGAGGATCTAGTTAACTTGATTTATTTCTCCGACCGGTTTCGTCTGATCACACAGACTTCACCAGGGACCGGTATAACAAGATAGAGCTAGGGAACTAACTTTATACCTAATGATTAAGACAAAATCACGCCTGTGAGGGTGTGAACAGCAAAAATACCTAGAAAATATGCGTGCAGGATTTGACAATAATCCTGCGTTACAAAATTTGCAACGTTTAATTCTGGGGCTCACGGATTAACTTTTAAGAGTGAGTCTCCCTAAAACCGGTCCACTGCGTTTCGGGTCGGAAAATCAATTTCCTTTAAACTTTGCCCATGAATATATCTTAGTCCAAAAGTAATTGAAACCGCATTAGTTTTTGAAAATATTTCAAAATAAAATTTTTCGGGAGGAAAATCACTTCAGCACTCGGCGGCCCAATTTTTGCAGTGACAAAGAGTAAAAATAGCGCATATTGCCGAGTTAACCACTTCAAAGTTTTGCACTTTCAACGACTTTTTTCACTTCCTAGGATTAAATTGGTCCTTAAATGATGTAAAGGACACAATTTTGGTCCTTCAAAAACAACTCGTGTCTACTAAATATTTTTTGATTTACACTCACTTTGCCGTACGCAGGAAATGACTCAAAAATGCATATTTTCATCGTAGCATTGTGCAAAATCCCCACATCTTCTGAACAAAATGTCTTTTCAGACCAACAAAGGGAATGTCCAAAAACATAGGAACATAAAAATATGTTGTGATTTTAACGATTTATCAGCACAGCCGATCGACGAAATATGCCTATTTTCCGTTATGACTGTTTACAATACACGATGGAAGGTCTTAATGCAAAGCCCGAATAACACAATAATTCATCAAATGTATCAAGTATTTTAAACTTTTTGTGACTTTTGACACAATAGAACATCATGTAGGAAAGGAAAGCCTTTAAGCCGAACGCATTAATACTACAGGTGTACCTGTCTACAGCGCTTGATCCGATCGAGTCGTCTTCGCTGTGTACACAAAACTGATATCACATAATGGCTCCTGTCACGCATTCCAATATCTGGAATCGTTACGCCGCGAAAACACTTTTTGCTAGTCTGACTAAAATTGAAAGGAAGGAAATTATCTTATCAATAGAGTATTCTATTATATTTATTGCTGTTTTCGTTGACAAGCTACAAAATCAAGAATCATGCATGCATAAGAACCTATAGTGCGTTAACAACCCGGGGAGGGGGGGAGTTTGCTGGGTATGTATGTATGTATGTATGTATGTGTCGCTGCCCTCTCAGAGCCCCTACCACATTATAGTCTTTTCTGTGGCCAATCAATTATAGACCCCATCTTAGCCACTTTTGGGCAAATATGTAATTTTTCGCGATCCCAATTTAGGCACTCTCTATTTTTATGAATTGACCCATTTTTTAGAATACAGAACACTTCACTTTTCATCTACAGTTCTGGTATGTTTGCTAACCGTAAATATGAAGAACTGTCTTACCTCAAAAAATCCGAAAATGTGCGACCCCATTCTAGTAACTCTATTGAAAATGCGACCCTATTATAGTCAATCCAGTCGTGAAAATGCGAACCCATCCAGCGGCACATCCCTAGTAGCCTCTTATAAGGAAGTACCCCCCGGGATTAACAATAGTCTGGTGGTCCGCAAGCAAATACCTCCCTTGCTATTATTCTAGAACAAATACTGTATCTGCATCATTATCATCCCCAGGCTAAACCCGGTACATTTGAAACCAAGATAGCCACCTGTTAGAGAATGTGCTTGATCCCGGCGAATTTACGGAAAATCTAAGGACTTAGTAAAGAATTTAAGGACTGTGAAGTGGCATGGTGGTTTACCTCGTTTAGCGCTTTCGATTTCTTTCAAACTCACTAATATATAGATTTAGACAGGGCTAAAAGCGCAGCTCTCGTTGATATACTTGAAGCTGTACTCCAGCGAAAAAGAAAATCGTGTGATGCTAACCTGCAACGGCAACCAGAATTGCAAAAACAAAACAAAACAACAACAACAACAACAACAACACCAATATGTCTAATTAGCGAACTTAGCTTTCCACCCTATCGGAGGGGGTGGGGTATGCAACAAAGTGTTATACTGGGAGACTCCGCCCTAATCGTCCAACCCACCTTTTGTATACCATTTTTGACTGAAGAGGTGCCTCTTGAGGGGCAGAAAGCTGGCAACGCAGATCGCACACGAATGTTTACCAAAGCCGAGTGGCTCAAAAGTAAAAAATTGACGATTTTTTTCGCAATATTTTTCTAACAAAATCATTTGAAAAAAAAAAAATAAAAGACTATACATACTAAGCGGACGATGAGGAACCTGGAGAAAGAAATGGCAGCGAAGCTATGGTGGAAACAATTGCTGCCAAAAGTCCTCTGATGTATGTGCGAGATGGCTCACAGAAATCACTCTTTTTCTTTCAAAAGCAACTTGCTTGGGATTTCATTTGGCACAAGAACCTCGAAATCTGATCTTCTTCAAAAGATAACTAAAATGGTTGTAGAGTGCTCTTGTGTCAAAAGATTGTTGGAAAAGACGCGAGAAGAAGGACAACGACTCTACCTCGGTGAGTTTGTACCCTGCCTATTATTACTCATTTTTCTTCCGCGGGCTCACTGTGAATTGACAGCCTTTCAGGAAAATCCCTAGCTTAATATGTGCATTTCGGCAAAAACGGGACAAGAATTTGAAAATATGGCACTATTAATAATTAACCACTTTCCGTAATAGAGAATGAGTATTAGCGAAGCTCTCGCGCGTGCGAAAAAAAAAAATGGTAACCTGTAAAATGCGAGAAAATTTCGTAATCACGTGATCGTGCGTTCGACTGTTTCCCCCTACTACCATTACACTGACACCGATAACAGAGAAAAAGCTAGAGCGAAACTGACAAAACAAAACAAAAAGAAAAAAAAGAAAGGAGACGAGGTTCATTGCGGAAGAAAAAAACATAAAAAAATTCCAAGCTGTGATAAGAAAATGACAAATGTTAGCGGCCAGCAAGGTTAAAATGAGCGGCAGTGAAACAAAAATGGAACGTAGGAACAGATACGATTTTTTCTCCATAAAACGTGCAACTAGGACGTTTCACGTACTTTGAAGTCGTGCAAAACAATGACAAAGAAATGTACAAAAAAATGTGCTGCACGTGCAAACTTTTTTTTTCGCTCTTAAGCCCTATTGATTTTTTTTGCATTTCTCGTTTGCCGTCACCGGTTAGCATTACACGATTTTTATTAATTTTTTTTTTTCTGGGATACAACTTTGAGTAAATTAACGAGTCAGAGATGCGCTTTTAGCCCTGGAGTCAAAATCGAAAGCGCTAAACGAGGTAAACCAGCACGCCAGTTTTAAATGCAGGGTAACCTAATTTCAAAGATACAGTATTTGTTCTAGGATAATAGCAAGGGGGATGTTTGCTTTCGGGCCACTAGACTGTTCACTGTCCCTTATCTTTCCGTAAAATCGTCCAGATGTGCGGGCCTTCTTGGGTCCGCTGCCCCAAGAGTAGATTTCATAGTCATCCCCAGGCTAAACCCGGTACATTTTAAAACCAAGATGGCCACCTGTTAGAGAATGTGCTTGATACCGACGATTTACGGAAAAATAGAGGACTGTGAACAGTCTAGCGGACCTCCTGCCAGCAAGCACACTCCACCCCTATCCCCAGGCCCACCCTGAGTCGGGGAGCTTGATAAGACCTGAAAACAGGTACTCGTCGGTTTAATACCATGGGCTACCAGAAATATGAAATATATTAAAAATAATAAAAAATGCAAACTTAAACGACAAGCATAAAACAAAACAAAGAGAAAGCTCATAGCGACAACCAATTGTTTTATAAATGCTAACCTGAATGGACAGGAGCCTATTCGTGGAAAACTAAAAAGTTGCTGTTGTTAATGAACTGGGCACTTATGCATGCATGATTCTTGATATTGTAGCTTGTCAACGAAAACAGCAATAAATATAATAGAATACTCTATTGATAAGATAATTTCCTGCCTTTCAATTTTAGTCAGACTAGCAAAAAGTGTTTTCACGGCGTAACGATTCCAAATATAGGAATGCGTGACAGGCGCCATCATGTGATATCAGTTTTGTGTACACAGCGAAGACGACTCGATCGGATCAAGCGCTGTAAACAGGTACACCTGTAGTATTAATGCGTTCGGCTTAAAGGCTTTCCTTTCCTACATGATGTTCTGTTGTGTCAAAAGTCACAAAAAGTTTAAAATACTTGATACATTTGATGAATTATTGTGTTATTCGGGCTTTGCATTAAGACCTTCCATCGTGTATTGTAAACAGTCATAACAGAAAATAGGCATATTTCGTCGATCGGCTGTGCTGATAAATCGTTAAAATCACAACATATTTTTATGTTCCTATGTTTTTGGACATTCCCTTTGTTGGTCTGAAAAGACATTTTGTTTAGAAGATGTGGGGATTTTGCACAGTGCTTCGATGAAAATATGCATTTTTGAGTCATTTCCTGCGTACGGCAAAGTGGGTGTAAATCAAAAAATATTTAGTAGACACGAGTTGTTTTTGAAGGACCAAAATTGTGTCCTTTACATCATTTAAGGACCAATTTAATCCCAGGAAGTGAAAAAAATCGTTGAAAGTGCAAAACTTTGAAGTGGTGAACTCGGCAATATGCGCTATTTTTACTCTTTGTCACTGCAAAAATTTGGCCGCCGAGTGATGAAGTGATTTTCCTCCCGAAAAATTTTATTTTGAAATATTTTCAAAAACTAATGCGGTTTCAATGACTTTTGGACTAAGATATATTCATGGGCAAAGTTTAAAGGAAATTGATTTTCCGACCCGAAACGCAGTGGACCGGTTTTAGGGAGACTCCCTCTTAACTTTCATTGACACAATACTGTTTTCAAGATTGCTTAGAACAAACTCTTCAAAAGACATTTGATGAGTGCCGTACAAACTTTAAAAAACGTCTCGAAGCACGCGGGTATCCTGAACAAAATATAGAAAGGTCGTTGTCAGAGGTTAACTTTGATCAAAGACACTCGGCACTAAAACAAAAGCAAAAAGTAAAGAGAGGCTATTGCCTTTCGTTACAACATATCACCCAGCGGTACAAGATCTTAAAAAGACATTGATGGCAAACTGGAGTCTAATAAAAAATTAGCCTCTGCTGAAAACAATTTTTAAAAGACCTCCGATCAAATCCTACATAAGAGGTAAATCGCTGAAAGACGTCCTTCCAAGAGCAAAAATTTAACTCGAAGGCATTTGATAATGCGACCCAACCACAAAAACCGCATTGGAAGTCTTTGACTTCGTTTCAGAATAAGATTTGAAAATATCAATTGAAAGATTTTCACTGACTTTGTAGGAAATTCCCTGACCTTCCCCGACCTTTTTTTTTTTTTGTTTGCTTTACCTTGACGTGTCCCTGCGCATGCCTGACACCCTGATGGAATATATACAGCTATTTAGCCATGAACGAAATTTTGGAACTATACAATATTTCCCCAGTATTATCAAAAGATTATAATAACTAAAATTTTGATTAAAAATTTCCCGGTAGTCATTGACATTATTATTGGCCGTTTTCACACTAGAGACGTGAGAAGGATGATTCGGTTACAGTCAAACCAGGTGAAGCGTTCCCGTCGCTTATGAACTAATAAATTCATTAACGGAAAAATGATTTCCTTTGTTGATTCAATAATCCATTCATAAAATGAACAATCCAATATTCATATTTAGCCTCGATTCCATAATGGAATGTTGATTCGATTACTGTTTGTGAAAAACTAGACTTTTTTTCGTCTTTTTTTCTAAGAGTCGAGTGCGGACGAGTTCTGAAGTTCAAACCCAAACAAACTGTTACATGTACACTGGCTGTCTTTACACTAGGCTGTTAAGTAAGACTTAAGAGCTACTAAGTTTTACTTCAACAAAAATTCGTGTGTGAAGGCCCAAGTAAAATCTCAAGTAACTTTACTTTGCATCTCATTAAAGTCGGAAAGTTGAAACGATTCAAAAAAGTTTTAAGCGACTTGAAAACCATCCTTAAAACCGACTTAGCTGACTTGCGGTTACTTGCGGTTTATTGAGGTTTGAGAAAGGCGAAACAGGTCAAGCAATCGTAATTATTTTGCGTGGGAAAATAGCCTTCGGTTAACCTGATGTAAAAAAGAATCGGTTGTGTGTGAAGCTTTATTTTACTTAAAGTGGCCCGACTGGATTTTTTGGGGGGGATACCTCCAAAGTTTGAGCATTAACTACGTCGGCATGAGTAAAGATATGGGAAAAAGGTTACCACAACTGTCTTTTATAATGATGAAAATTTTTTATGATCTGGGTTTTAATGCAATCGGAGTCGCCATGGCAACGTAATGACGCCATTACGCTTTTTATTTATCTTTGTGTTTCTCTGTACCAGGCGTTTTTTGAGGAAATCGCTTAACGGAGCATGTACCTGCCATAATTGTCTCCATTATGGCAAAGTTTAAACAAATTCTATGAGAGCGTTTTCAAAATATTTTGACACGCAGTTTCAACAATCATAAAAACAGTGAAATAGCATGCTATCCACACAATTCGCTAATATTTTAAGAAACTGATAAACTTTCGAAACGCGGCTTCATCCCATAGTGGTTTGATTCCACTGAAAACTGCATACAAAAAAAGAGGGGAATTGCTCTGGGCTATCGCGAGTAAGAAGAATTTTATTAACTTGCATTCAGCTGCTTTTGTTACAGTTTTTGGACGTAATTTGGTCCATGCCTACAAATTTCGCATTTTTCAAAAAACCGCTGGATAATTTTTTTATAAATTCGACAATCTTGAGAACAATTGACATAAATATTCCATGCAAGTTTCAAGAACATTGAAAACAGGGAAGGCTTTTAAATAGGGCCTCAGATTTTGTGTTTACAAGTGAGCGTCCTCATTATTCACTAACATTATTTTCAAGTTTCATATACACGTGCACATTTAGCAAAAGATAGAATTTGCATCAAAAAGGAACCTCGGTTAAATTTCCGGAATATGCTAATTACCGGGTAAAGAGATTAGTGATACATTATAACATCAGAGCAATTCTTTGTAACAGTTTCTGTGATGTTATAACCCGAGTAAGATAATTAAGTATTGCATCCTACACGATGAGCGGTGACGTTCACCGTTTCGGCCAGGGCGGATAAAGGTTGGGCGGTGAAACGAACGCTCCGCTCTTCAATTAATGTGTGATGCGGAGTAGGACTGTCACTAGCGCTCTTTCCGCGCTTCTGCAGGTGCGCTTGAAGGCCAGCGAAATTTTCCTTTTTGCAAACGGGAAATCCTATTTTCTTTCTGTAATTTCAGGCTACAATGTCAAGTAGATAAATTCGTTTCACAACAATATCAATAAAGAGTTTCATATGTTTGTGTTTGTACGTCTATAGGTCAAACTTAGCTTGTTGGTCGTATAATGCCAAAATTTGAGTTTAATCCTCCTTCCACTAAATTTCACCTAATCGTCTTTCACCGTTTCGTTTGCAAAAGCTTAACACTTCTTAACCTCAATTTTTACATATGTTAAAGGGGGATAAATTTTATATAACATAACGAAAAATTAGATTGATATATATATTGATATAGTGGCGTTGTACTTCTTCAAACTTTGCTTCTCAGGTGCAAAGTGCCATGGCGATTCGCGCAATGCGTTGCAAATCCGGCAACCGCATGAAAAAAAATTTATTGAAGTTAGTTATCAGGTTTTTTCTCTGTTTTTCTCTCTAAAACAAAACAAGGTAAACAGTAAAAACTGAGGGAAAACTAATTTTGAAGTTTCGAAGAAACAGAAAGACGTATGAGATGTTTTGTTTTTTTAATTAAAAAGAAGGATGATGGTGATCGAAATTAGCATAATTTCACCTTGCACGAGCTGCACGCATTTATAAAATACACGTCATCTAGTTATGAAACACGATCTGCTGTATTTTAGGGCCTGTTTACATGGAAGTGGGGGACCCCAGGTAGGTG